TTTTTTTGTTACATTAATTTAAATAATTAATTCAAACAAATTTTAAAATATTGTTTAAAATAATTAATTAGGTAGTTAAATAATAAAATTATTTTACAATTATATTTTTTTAATATTATATAAAAAATATATATATTTACGTGTTAATTTAATTTATTTGTTTGTTATTTAAGTTTTGAAGTTGCTAATTAAGTCAATTACTTTGTAATTAAGTTATTTAATTTGTGTTTGAAAAAATCAATCAAGTAGTTAAATAAGAAAATTAAGAGTTTAGAATTAAATTAATAAAATTTAATTTCAACTATAAAATTACGGGTTAGTTGTTAATTGTTTGTTATTTCAATTATAAAGTTCAATTAAGTTAATTGTTTTGTAATTTAAATATTAAAATTTTAATTAGAAGAATTAATTACATACTTAATTAAAATATTAATTAATTAGTTGTTAAACAAGTTTGTTATTTCTTAATTGAAGCAAATCAATAATTTAATTATTAAACTAATTACATCTAGACATGCGAACGGATCCAACATCTTGAGAGTTACGTTACAATGTTTTTAGCTACTACAAATGAGTTGAAAGAGTACACTCGAGAGCAACATGTGATAATGCGACAGATGTTGCTGAATATGTAGCGAGCCGGTTCATCTAACGAGCCTTCGACTAACGATTCCACCCAACCTCCAACCAACGACTCTACCGATCACTCCTAGCTCCTATGTTTTCTTTTTCTAGTAATATTAGCAAAATTTAAAGTTTTTTCATAATTAAATATTATAATATAAATTGTCACTAAATTGGCAACGGACTGAAAAAAAATCATCGTTAAATAATTAGCAACAAGCATTTGTGGATGGTTTCAAACCATCGCTAAAGCAAAACCGTCGCTAATCTTATTTAGCGACGATTTTTAAAAAATTAACAATAGTCTAGATCATTGCTAATAATACATTTTCTAGTAGTGATTTATGATTTTCTTTTTTCTACTTGGTATGTGTTTTGGTGTGTTTTATACGTGCGAAGTCGGCTGGTTTGTCCCCGTGGCATGTTGTCTTCGTTGATGGAAATCAACAATTTCGAGGAATGACATAGTACAAAGTAGGCGTGCCGTGAGAAAGTTAGGGGGACTCGAATGACGAGTCGTTTGGGTGATCCCGAATTGGTCCTATTGTTCATGTCTTGTGTCAATTCGAGTCTTCGTAGGTTTAATTTTTTTCGATTGTACCACCCATATATGTTATTGTAGTCCCTATGCTCTTATTTTTTTCAATTAGGTCCTTATATCTTTTAATTTAATTCTAGTGTTTTTAATTGTTTCAATTATGTCCTTAATTGCCTTGAATTGCATTTATCTTTTTTTCAATTGCATCCTTGGATTAAAAATCGAAAATACAGTCAAATAAAAGGATAAAATAAAATAAGCAAATAAATAAAATAGGATAAGCATGAAGAAAAGGTAAGAAAGATTAAAATGATGAAAATAAAGATTGAAAAATCGGTTAAACAAAATAATTGATTTTTTCCATGTTTTTCTTACGAAATAAAAATGTAAAATTCATTAAACTTATGAACTAAAGTAGAATATGAAAATAGCAGAAAAAATACTAAAAGCAAATATAATCCAATTTTTGGGTTATGACAAATAATATTTGTATGTTTTAAATCGAATATGTACTACGTATATAAAAATAAAAATTGATAAAATCGGCATACGTTCAAAGTTAGTATATCTACATTGATTTCTTGCGAGAAGTTACATTATCATGACTGTAAGTTAAAAAAACAAATTATTTCGTTATTCTGTTATTTAAGCATAACGCCATATTGTTAAAAAAAAAAAACACTCCAATACAGGGATTGTTACACTATAGATACATTAATTCTTATCATTTTTTCAATTGAGTATGTGAATCTAATTTTTTGCATTTGAATACACTATTTTTTTAAAAGTTGTCAATTAATCATTCATATCTAACTTTTGTAAATTGCCCCATTATTTGATGACACATCTTCTACTCCATACTCGTTAAATTATGATTTTATCTTTTTATTACTTGGATGAGAATTTTATTTTCAAATTATTTTGTTTAATCCTCGCTTTTTGAATATAAAGATAATTTGGATATATATATATAAACATGAGAGAATTACTATAAAACTATTAGTAGGAGCTAACCTAATAGTTTAAATTTTTGAATTAAGATGATTCATTGATATGATATCAAAGTCTTGCTAAGCAAATAGTCATGAATTCGAATCTCAAAATCCTCACTTAAAAAAAAAAATAATAATTACATAACTAATCGCAAAGTAGTGGTGGACACATGTTAGTTTCAAGCTAAAAAATTTTTACCCGAGATGATGTGTTAGAGAGTTATTATAAAACCAATTTTACGAGTCTTATCTAATAGTTTAACTTTTTAGGCTGAGATGATTATTTGATAAAAAGAAAATAAAAGCAAAATAATCGAGAAGGAAAGTTCCCTTCAATAATGAAAAGACAAAATTATAATTTAATAATCGAGGACAAAGGACACATCATGATATAATGCAATAGTAGATAAAAGTTAAACGGTAAATACTTGATTAATAGTTTTTAAAAAGTTAATATACTAAAAAAATTTTATGCACTCAATTTAAAAATTTTAAAAATTGGATTACTTGTAATACAATATCCCTTTCAATACATATAGGAACTTCCAAACTATTTAAAATCAATTTTTAATTGACATAAACTAAGCTATTAAGCAATAGTTTCGACTTTAATTTTGGTCCTAAAATATATAGAAAACATTATTAAGTTACACGAGAGTTCATTTAGAAACAATTGCACATTTAGGGTTTCTATTATTAACATATGTGCGGGTTTTTTAATAACATATTTAAGTGTTTATCTTAATTTTAATATTTTATTAATGAGAATTTAAAAGTTTCAATTAAAAAAATTCACAGTATATTTGTGAAAATAGATTCTATATTTTATAATCTTCTACTTGGTATGATATTTAAATTAATTATCCGAGAGTTAAATTTTTGTATTGTCTTTCAAATTAACAATAGACATACACAGTTTTATAACATATAGTTTTTTTTCATTGAATTAGATCACTAAATGCTTTAGTCTGAGTCGCAAAAACATATAGAGGATAATATTAAGTGACAAGACGATGCATTTAAAACTAATTGCATGTTTAGAGTTTCTATATCGTTATAATTGCAAGTCTTAATAGCATATTTGAGTTTTTCATCTTCAACTTTAATATTTTATTAACTAGGATTTAAAAGTTTTAATTCAACAAATCACAAGTGCATTTAAGGAAATATATTCTATATTTATGATTTTTTTTACTTGTTATCGCATTTAAACTAATCATTTGAGAGTCAATTTTTCATACTTTCTGTCTGATTAACAATCGACATGTACAAAGCTTTATAAGATACAATTTTTTATTTATTGCATTTCATGGTTCGCATGCTATTAAAGTAAATTTTAATCTTTTATTTGCAAGTTTTCTTTGTAGATTTACTTTGTTATATATTATATTGGAATTTTTTTTCTTTGCAAGTTTTGTGATATATTCTATACAATATGAATTTACTTTAATAAATTTAAAAAGGTTCCAAAGACACATCTGGACCCTTAAAAAATTTGATGTTATCACTTGGAATTTCAAATTTATTGTTTGAAATAGCTGCAGTAAGAATTTAGAAACTAGAGTATTATATTTCTCCCTATGTAACCAAAAGCCAACTCTACATATCTTCCAACAACTAGAGCAAAATCCAATAATTAAGCATATTGTTTTTAGCTATATTTATATAATAAAATCTCTAAATAAATTGTACTCGTGGTAATAAAGTTTCTAAATAACCTAATAATTTTTTTCACCGTTAGTTGCATGTACATTGAGAAAATCCATTAAATATTGAAAAGTATAAAAAACCTAGTAACATTTGTGAATCTAGTTCAGATCTATTCTAACAACAAAAAAATAAAAACAAATTACATGTTGATATATTTTTTTTAATTTACGTATCTTTTAACAAAATGTAATGACAAGCATATAAAATATTATTGTAATTTTTTTTTTAAATCGACGTGTTAAATAAGTATCTTCCATCCTATCCTTATAAAACAACCCTGTTGAATTTCTCAAACTTGGATGAAGTTAAAGGGGAGTTGAGATGGTTAGGATTGGGTAAAAATTGTCTGAAGATTAAACCTCACCGCATGCACGCACGCGCTAAAAGTGCACGTGGATTAACAATGAACGAAGACCACATAAGTCTCAGACAAGGAAGAGTACAGGGGTGAAAATATAGATATAAAAAAATGTAGTCGAGTAAATACCTTAGCCAGTCTATATCTCTCTCCCTCTCTGGTTAGACCGCTGTGTTTCCTTCCTTTTTTCAAAAATAAATAAATAACTTAAACAAACAATTTCCTTGTATGCGAAAACAAAATTAAAAAAAATGAATTAAAGCAAAATAAGAAACCGAAAAAAAAAACAAAAAAACAAAGAAAAGACACGGCTGCTGTATACACCAAAAACCAGAGAGGGTGGGGGAGAGAGAGAGATAGTGTTGGGTGATTGATTCCAGCTGCAGAGATCGCACCTAAGCGAGAACCCAAACCCAATAAATCTATCCAATTTTAATTTTTTCATTATTGAGATCATTTTGTTTAAATTTTTAATTAATAACTAGTTCTTAAAAGAATAAAAATTCAAACATCGGTTGGTACCGATTTGAATCTAGTGATCGGGTCCAATTCATTGGAAATCCGTGGTGGGTTTTAGGTTTTGTGAAATGGGTCGGCTTTGTTTTTTTTGTTTGGGATTGTAGAGAGAGAGAGAGAGAGAGAGAGAGAGAGAGAGTTATGAATTTGTGGGCTTAAATATTTATTTTATTTTTACATTTTGTTATTGTTGTTGATGATTTCATTGGGGAGGAGAGATGCGAGAGAGCAAGTAGGGTTAGGGTTTGGTAGTGAGAGAGAGATGGAAGATACTGAGCTTGAAGAAGGGGAAGCTTGCTCTTACCATAATATTAATCACAACGACGACGACGATTATGTTGCGAGCATGGACCCTGATATTGACCTCTCTTACATAGTAAGTTTTTCCTTTTTTATAAGTACGAGAATAATTTAAGTTTGGTTTTTAATTTTGTGATAGTTTGGTTTTGTTAGTGCTATATGTCACCTGTTGACTTTATTTTTTGTAGTTGTTCTCTTATGCTTTAGATCCAAAGTATGATGTTAAAGTCTTTTTCCAGTGTTGAGTATGGTAATCCTCATTTGATTATTGTCTCCTTTCTGGTTCTTGAGAAAATGGTTGTTCTGGTTTTGATTGTGTTTATGTAGGGAAGTATAGATGAAAGCAGTAGGTTTTCCTTTAGTGCTAGGGTTTGATTGGCTTTCGATGTTTAGATACGGCATTTTGGCTTAGTTTGATCTCCCAAGTGAACGGAGAAATGTTTGCATTTTGACCTCTTCCTTCTTACGGAGACATGAAATATGTTTTGATCTTGCTCAGTTAGTATAAACCAGTACTCGGTTATGATTCAGTGACTTGGGAATGCATGGACTCTGCAAATGCATGTTAGTTTAAAAAATGAAGCTTTTAGAAATTTTAGCTTGTCATTTGAGAATTTGAATGCCTGAATTTTAGGTTTCCATATCTAGTTTAGAGCCACGAGTCAACATTTTTCATCCACTTATGGTAGGTTCCTGACACAATTGCCTCTCGAAATTATTTGAAGTTTGTGGCACCTAGGTATACAACATGAGATGTAAAGACTGTTCTTTTTTTCCAAAGGTTGCACCTCTTTCAATTATTGGCTGTTCAGTCAGTTCATACCTGTTTATGTCTGTACTTTCCTTCTTTCCTGATATGCAACTGCTTTCTTCTATTCCTTTCTTTTTCAAGGATGAAAAACTACAGGATGTCTTGGGACATTTTCAAAAAGATTTTGAAGGTGGAGTTTCTGCAGAGAATCTGGGTATGTCAATATACCGCAGAAGTGTAGTTAATATAAGCTAAAAAAACTGCATTAAATTAGAGTTCATGTTTTGATATTTATTGTTTTGGGATTTTCACATTTCTATAGGGGCAAAGTTTGGTGGTTATGGTTCGTTTTTACCTACCTATCAGCGGTCTCCTGTTTGGTCTCACTCAAGGACCTCACCAAAAATTCAACATTGCAATGCATCTAGATCTCCGAACAATTTGCAACTGGAGGTGGATATATATTTTCATTATTGAGCATATCACTTGTTAATAATTGATTTAAAGAACCTTTAACTAAATCTTGGTCGACCTTGGTGTTACTATCTTGAACATTTTAATATTTGCTTCTAAAACAGGGTGGCCGCCATAGCTCTGTATCTTCTTCAACTGCCTCTCAATCAGTAAGACCTGAGCCTTCTTCTACAGTGCTGAAAACATCATCCTCCTTGATTGAGTCGGTTCAACAAGAAGCATGTGGGCCATCCACTCATTTTGCTGAGGAACTTGCTGCTAGAGATGAATATGTAAACAGGGAATCTGCTAGTTTTCCAGACCAGAAAATGCTGAAAGTTCGAATTAAAGTTGGTTCCGATAACTTGTCGACACAAAAAAATGCAGCAATCTACACTGGTCTTGGGCTTGATGTCTCACCATCTTCCTCACTGGATGACAGCCCCTCAGAAAGTGAAGGGATGTCTCATGAACCTCAAGATGCTCATCTTGAATCTCCTGCTCATATTCTTCAGGTAAATCATCTGCCTGCAAGTTTCTAACCTGTCGCTTACAACTCCACTTTGTGTTGGAACTTGGCAGTGATGAGAATGTCTTTCTTTTGATTTTTGTGATCGAGCAGATAATGACATCTTTTGCAGTGCATGGAGGTCTTCTGCTATCACCACTTCCTGATGATCTACTCCACTTGAAAGAGAAGGAAAGATTACTTAAAGACAGTGAATGCTTGCCTATTCCAAGGTTTGGTCCAGAAAGTTCTTGCATTGTAATGGATGGGTCTAGCTCTGTAAAGGGTGATGGGACAATGTTTGGAGAGAAGAAAATAAAGTCAGTAACGAGAAATGAACTTTTAACAGAATCAAAGAGTGATGTTTATAAGGATTCTGGGAGTGGTGTTGGTGTTATATCGAAGGAGATAGAACTTGACAATTTTGGTTGTGAGGAGCTTGTTTCTAATACCTTAAAGCTTCCACTTTTGTCAAATTCATATTCTGCTGTTGTTGGCACTTCAAAAGGAATGGGTAGTGCATCTAACATGTCCAAGGGAGCGTTGAGTGACAAAGGTTTTTCTGGTCTACCAAAAGAAGAATCACCGCCGACAATATTTACCCAAGAGAATGACTGGATCAAGAATTCCAAATCCAAGTCCGCTGGAAAGGTTTGGGAAGATAGAAAAGCTAGCACTCATGGCAGTGATTCAGTCTCCTTAAGGAAAGATGGCCATCGCAAAGGAGAAAAGCGTCATGAATCAGTCAAAATTGAATCGAATGTTTCAAAGGGTAGGAAGGCTCTAAATCAGGCTCCAACAGAACCTCCCAGGCAGAATGCTGATGAGAAAGCTATGTTCTGTGAACAGGAAGGTATAAATTTACCTCATGTTAAGGAGTCGTCTTCTGAGGGAAAAAAGAAGCTAATGGGAAGTCAAAGTCATGGCACTGTAATTACTGAGACACCAAACGAGGGTTTGAGGGTTGGCTCGTCTTCGGCACCAAAAAATAAGAAGAGCATTTATGCAGACAACTACACAACTAAAGGGGAATCAGGGGACTTGAAATTACAAAAGAATTCTGGGAAAGCTGGGGATAGATATAGAGAATTTTTTGGGGACATAGAACTAGAACAACAAGAAATTCAGACGAGTCCATTGGTAAAGAATTATGAGGATGGGCTGGAGGACTTTGAAATGGTTGAAAAGAGCTCGCATGGAACTAACAGCATGTCCAAGGAAAGATCAAGCTGTAAGAAAGTGGATAAGCTGTTAACATCTGAACCATTTCTTAAAGCTGCTTCAATTGGTGCTTTGCACAGTGGAGAGGGGTCCATGCCTGATACTGTGCCCGATGAAGAAAATTGGGTCTGTTGTGACAAGTGCCAAAAATGGCGGCTTCTTCCACCTCGTACAAATCCCGATGACCTGCCTGAAAAGTGGCTGTGTAGCATGCTTGACTGGCTGTAAGTATCTTTTTACATTTATACCTATTACAATGAAACAAGCACTCCTATCAAGTAGATATAAATTAAATCTGTTGATTTAATGCCTCAGCCTTTAACTCTGATGTTTGATTTTAATATCATAAATGCCTTAGGCCTGGTATGAACCGGTGTAATTTCAGCGAGGATGAGACAACACTTGCAACTCGGTCACTTAGACAAAACAATTCTGGTGGGGATATATCCAAAGTAATTGGGGCTGATGTTTGTTATCCTGTTCAGAGCCACCAAAATTTTGGTTCACATGCTGTGCTTGCCAATGGAAGAAAAAAATACGGTTCAAAAGAGTTACCGAATATGATGTATAAAGACGATCGACCTACTCAGTTGTCAAACCCTATGAAGAAGAGCTTCCAGGTGTCGGTGACAAATGGAAGCATAAATGATGTGAAACCAACTCCTGTGGTAAGTGAATCGGATTCTTTGAAGCTGAGAAAGTCTAGCAATTTAGCTGTGGATAAACGCAAAGATAAGCCGAGAGAGAAGCATAGAGGACTGGACAACTGTTCTGACCGAGGTACTGGTTTAAAATTTGCTTTTTGTGCCTTTAACTTCCTTTTCTTGAAGCATAAAACTAACTTGTTGGCTAAAACACACACTCAGGTGGTGGTTCTAAACGATCAAAGGAGAAAGGCAAAAGGGACCCTGATCAAGATTGTTTTAGAGATTCTAAGAAAATCAGAACTGAAGGTTTGCCCAAATACAATGACTGCGCTTCTAAGAACATAAAGCATGATCAAAAGGACTGGGCGCAACTTTCTGCCAAAAAATCGAAGGATGATGCCCGCATGTCCTTGGATAATGGGTCTCTGGCTATGGGGAACAGTGATGATAGAGATACCAAAAAGAGGAAAGTGAAGGAAAGTCATGATGGTCAACTCTATCTGGGTTCCCTTCCAAACACAGGGCATCATCTCCAGGATAGTAATATCTTGGCCAGGGAGTTCTGTGAGAATGGCTACAGGGAGGATAAGAAGGTCAGAGTATCCAGCTCCAAAAGGAAGGAGGCCAGTGGAAGTAAAAGCAACAGTACAACAGACAAAAATGGTAGTCATAGAAAGAACCAGCAACTAGGACATGACCTAGGGAGCACCATATCTCAGCGGAGCTTGGATGGTGTGGAGTCTTTGAAAAGGGATTGTGGATTGTTACCTCTGGCGGCTACTTCTAGCTCTTCCAAAGTTTCTGGTTCCCATAAAACCAAGGCCAATTTCCATGATGCAAAAGGCTCACCAGTAGAATCTGTTTCATCATCACCTATGAGAGTATCAAAACCTGAAAAGCTTGCATCATCAAGAAAGAGCGTCACCAAGAATGATAACTCTGCTGATGCTGGTTTCTTTGACCTACATGGCCCGAGAAGGTTTTCAGATGGGGAAGATGATGGTGGGAGTGATCGATCTGGGAAAGCAAGGAATACAAAAACTTTTGTGCAGATTGTTCCTTCTCCAGATATTGCAAATGGGCACCTCACAAATGGTGTTGTAGATATTTTAAGCCAAAATAATCCACATCACAGTAAATCGGCAGCTTTGGATCCATTCCATGATGATGAAAGACGAAACGAAAATCTCCATCTTGTGAATGGGTCTCGTCCAAGGAAATCTGGAAAGGGTTCCTCTTCACGGTCTAAGGACAAGAAGAGGAATTTTAATTCTGAATTTGAAAATGAAGCTAAGGTTTCTACTTCCTTTAATGCACAAGCACCTTCCTATGAAGTAAAACCAACAAGTTGCATAAACAAGACTGAAGTGAAGTTTGGGATCAAATCCGAGGAAAATGAGAATAGATATGTTGATAAGAAGGACTCTGCAGGACTAGTGTTGAACGGGAATCGTAAAAGAGAGTATCAGTTAAATGTCGGGGGACCCAGTGGTTCGGATGTTAAAGTAGGTGGTGCTTGCAATCATGATACAGCGTTTACTCCAAAGCAGAGTGTGCTGACAGATGGTGAAACGGTCCGTGAGAGAGTGAAGTCACAATCATTGCCTTCTTCTGGAGGAGCTGAAAATGAGACACTTGCTGACTTCCCTCATCCAAATTCTGGATCTTGCCAAGGAAATGGAGCAAGTATGTTGGCTGTTAATGTCTCTGCTGGGAATAATGAAATAAAGGGGTCCAAACAGATCAGAAAGGGTGATCATCCAAACGGGAATCATCATCATCATAGCAGTTCCAAAAATGCCTCATCAAATGGGCACAGGGTCAGGGATCTTGATGCTCCAAGTCCAGTTAAAAGGGATTCCTCCAGTCAGGCTGCTAACAATGCTTTGAAAGAAGCTAAAAGTGTGAAACACATGGCGGATCGTCTTAAGGTTTTTATTGTTGATATTTTAAGAATTTGTTTTCTTTACTGTGCCACTCTTTCCAATGTTGGCTTTCTTCTGCAGAACTCGGGGTCAGATCTTGAGAGTACAAGGGTTTACTTTGAGGCAGCTCTGAAGTTTCTTCATGCAGCATCTCTGTTGGAAACCTGTAGTGGTGAGAATGCCAAAAATGGAGAGCCAATGCAAGTTTACAGTAGCACTGCAAAACTGTGCGAGTAAGTGACAGTATATAGCTTGATGAAGGGACTTCTTTTGTTTCTTTTGGTGGGTGGGTTGGGTGGGGTGGGGGTTTTAAATGTTTTCAGACCCATGGAATCATGCCTTTCCTGTTTGTTTGTTTGTCTGTCTGTCTAAACTTGCAACACGGCAACTCTTGTTGTTTAACTAGTTAGAACTGGCCACATTGATGCTGGAAATGCAGATACCATGAATGAGCATGTCGTTCTCATTTCCAGTATGTTGGGATTTGATATTTCAGCTTTGATTCAACCATGCATGGCACTCTGCTTAGGTTAACTCAGCATTTTGCATGGCATTTTTTCTTTCCTTTATTAAGTAGGAATTCTCTTCCACTTAATGATTGGATGGGCAATTGTGTTTATTCGTTGCATTATTTTTTGTGTATTTGTTTATTTTTGGGTATTGTATGGAAATAGTTTCAGGACAAAAAACATAACATCTGTGCCGTATTATGTGAACTAGGGCTATTAGCTGTACTTTTTTGTTATTTGTCTGTTCTTTGACTTTTTCACAAATGTGTTTTCCAACTTGAATTCTGTTTCCTGGATAGATCTGTTTCTAGAGTTTTTGTGACTTGTCATTGCATTTTCTATTGATCATTTTATTGCTGGGAAACAGTGTGTTGTGGCAGTTACGCTGCTGCCTTCCTTTGCTAAACCTCTTGATATTTTTAGGTTCTGTGCCCACGAATATGAGAGATCTAAAGACATGGCTGCTGCTGCTCTGGCCTACAAATGCATGGAGGTTGCATACATGAGGGCAATTTATTCCTCACATGCCCATGCAAAGAGAGATCGGCACGAGTTGCAGATGGCTTTACAAATTATTCCTCCAGGTAATTAGAAACATGCCATGATCTCTACTTCGGTGATTTAACACGAATGGCACTTCATTGTTTTCCTGGGACTTGTGTTCGTCTTTTAAAACAATTTTAGGTGACAAAACCACCCCTGGCACTTCAGTGTTTTGGAGATGAAAAACCTAGTCATAACTCTTTTGTAAAGTTGCCATCACACGCAATAATTTCCTAGTGCTTCAATGGCCTTTTCTGTATGCAGAAAAGAAGAAAATGGGAAAGAGTTGAAAGAGGCTTGTGGTTAGTTGCATACAAGAGATTTCAGTTTATCAAGTCATAGGTCGGATAACTGTTGAGCTTAAGTATGACAATGATTTGAACCACACCTCTTGGACTTCTTACACCAAGAATAGTACACTTTTCTGAAATGACAAATGATCTTTGAACATTTTTAAGGAAGTTTGTCGAAGTTTTATGTCTGCTGTTGAGCTTAAGTATGCAATGCATCAATATATTCAGTTCTCAGTTTCTGCATTATGTCTTGAAGGAGTCATTTTTAAGGAAGTTTGTCGAAGTTTAATGTCTGCTGTATTGATATATGTTGTCATGCATTGTTATTGTATCCTCAGGTACTTGACGTATGTTTCTCTTATTTCTTTTGTCATAGGAACATTTTGTCACTCTTTGGGCTTTTAGCTTTTTGAAATTCTTAATTTGGTCATTCGACGGTTGCTTGTGAATTGCTGTGATGCCATTCTTGTTTCATAATTTATAGGTGAATCGCCCTCCTCTTCTGCCTCTGATATTGATAACCTGAACCACACAACAATAGCTGACAAGGTTCCCTTAACCAAAGGCACTAGCTCGCCTCAAGTAACTGGAAGCCACATTATTGCCGCTCAGAATCGTCCCAACTTTGTGCGGTTGCTCAGATTTGTAAGTATATTCAAATTTTGTGTTAGAAAAAGCTAAAATTGTCATTTGATTATCCCATTGAGCTTTAGAACATAACTATGAGTGTTAGAATATAAAGATATCGGCCAAGGAGTATATTTTGATTGCAACCTATAGTTATTTATATTGATTAGTGTTTCCTTTCCAATACAAGAGCATCACATTTATTCCTCATTATGCACCAGACCATGAATTTTTCACTCGCTGGTGTCAGTGTTTCTGAGTCAATCAACTCATGAAACTTTGCTATCATATCTTGCAGCAGCTGGTGCTCAATTATTTGGTTTGCAACTTTACATCTGTATGAGATGGTTAGGAATGTTAGCATCATTAAATGTGATTTTGCAGGCACAGGATGTGAATTCTGCAATGGAAGCCTCTCGAAAATCAAGGGTTACTTTTGCGGCAGCTAATGTCAGCTTGGGAGAAGACCGATGTGGAGAGGCCATTTCTTCCATTAAAACAGCTCTTGATTTTAACTTTCAAGACGTGGAGGGATTACTACGTTTGGTGCGGCTTGCAATTGAAGCTATTAGCAGGTAAAGAGTCCAGTTGTTAATGGAGATTAACAACCTCGGAGGAATTCTTGCTTGGTTGGCGTATTCTTGGGATTTGGCCTTTCAGGAAAGGAAAGAAAGCAGCCTGATTTCTCTGTTGCAGTACTTGATAGATCGTTTGCGAGATCATTTATCAGCAAGATGCCAACTCAGTGCTCTTTGTACATGTGTATACTATGGGATAGTGTTGAACTTCGAGTGTATTCTTTTTAATCATACTTCAGCTGCTCTCTGGTGCAGATCATTACCTCTCACTTGTTTAAGCCATTTCAAGATTGGCGTGGAGGACAATTGATTCACAAGACTTGTGTAGAGAGAATTTGGAGGCTGTAGAAATAAGGAAATTTTTTGGTTCAATACGATTGTGTTTCGAGAAATACTGGAATAAGGGTAGATATCCCCAACTATAAAGTTATGTGGGATTGTATAATTCTGAAAACCAGAGGATCCCATCTTTATGGAGATTGTTATTTATTTTTCCTGGATGGAGTCTCATTTTGCCGTTGTGTTAATTTGCTATTTACAATTCATTGGAAGACATTTTGAGGATGGGAAACTTTAATATATGTGCTGCTAGCATCACGATCTCAATTTGACTGTCAGACCACACTTTCTTTCGTCCAAGCACTAGGTAAAGAAGACAAGGCCTTCTCAGGTTGGCTACTCTATTTGTTTCCTTTTTCATTCAATAAGCAATATTTTGTTTTCCTCGCCTGTCACCAATTTTTATTCCATTTTTTCTACTTTTAGCAGGTTACCTTCTAGAGCTTCTGTAATTGCAGTATTCCCCTTTTGCTAATAGAGAGAGTAGGAAGAACTTGGAAAGTTGCAGTGTGGAAAAATAACATTATTTTTTTATGAGGTGAAGTTATGCCCTAGAAGGTTTGTGGAGTAATGGTAGCTGTTAAACATTTAATTGGATTGTTTATTTTGCTACTGTGGATAACCTATTACTATCTCCATCTCTCCTATTCAGTGGCTGTTATGTACATGTAAAATCAAGTTATCAATTAGGGAATGGTTTTGAGTGTTGGTCTGTAGGTAGTGGTTCATGCTAAACCTTCACCCGGCAAATGCAGACTAACAGGTAAGGCTATTCTCTCCAATTTCTAACTGAAGTTGACTTGACTGGATTTATAAAAATCCTATCTATTTTTCTTATCAAATTGCAAATCTTCCTCTTTGGGTCCATTTTCTTGGTAGACATAGTTGTTTGGAAATGAATCTGTCTATTGTTGTTGTATTAATCAATAACTTCCAACTGTGTTAAGAGGTATGGCACAATCATTTAGACCTCTGGTAATTCACCCTATTCCTCAGTGCTTGCAAACTGCTCTAAAGTTAACTTACCTCTTGATTGGGCAAGCAGTAGTCATATAAACTACGCGTAGTTCGATTTTTATACGGCTTGTAGTACCTTATCAAGTATCTGGTGAAGTGTCCTCTAATCTGGAATTCTATTTTCAGGTTCAGCCATTGGGGCAGTTGCAGTGGCAGTCTGGCTGGGTTTTGCACTATTTGTCTCAATTGGATTCTGCCATTTATTTTCTGCCTCCACCTTTGTTCCCTTCGTCGCAATTGTTTTGTTACTCTACGGCTATGTTCATATTCGGTTGTACATTAATGAATTATAAGATTCTTACCTCCACCTCCAATCCGTCCCAACTGATCTTTGTTCTCCCCTACTTGATCACACGTATATTAGAAAAAACCAAAATTGAATAAAATGAAAGGAAAGTAAAAGTTTTTGAAATAATCGGGCACAGAATTTTGCTTGTTCACCAGTGGATTACTTAGATGCCTCATGACAATGAGGAAAAAGAGAATCTGATATTTCAAGGTGAGTCAAACTTCCTACATTGATTTCATTCTCATTGTTTCTGCATATTTTTTTTGTAGAAAAATTTGGAACCACCTTCCTGCTATGAGAAATATGTTCACAAGCAGTTGTAGGGTAACTTGTAGAAAAATAATTGTTGAATTTTTTATGTGCATTGCGATAGGCAGTTGCTTGTTTAGAATCAAATATATCAAAACTTGGGAAAATGTTGAAAGATTGGCTTTTAAATAAAAATGGGAGAAGCATGGGGAATGACTCGAATAGAATTATAGATGTACTGCCATGTCACAACTCAAAAAATGTTTTGCAACTGTATCAAACAGTTGAGATTAGATTGCTTGTACTTTTTGTTCTTTTTTCTTTTGAGAGGATAATGTGTTGTTAAATTACATATTGATTTCTATTCTTTTCATAGTGTCATACATACATTCATTCATTCAAGTGAATATACGATTCTTATAGTAGTTATCAATGTACAATTTTTTTTCATGCCATCCTTTTTTTCTATGCTCTATTATAAATATGATCCCTTCATCCACTTTTTGCCAATGTTATGCTATGAATAACAATGTAAACGTGTCACCCATTTGATAGTATATTTGATGACACATTGGCATAACATAAGGGCCAAGAACTCGATCTTACTTTACTAATTGAAAATGAAAAAATGGAAAACCTTGTAGAAGTAAAGATACAACAAATTTTGACCCATTGAAATAAGCTATACCTATACCCATTGAATAAACAGCAATTACTCAAAAGTGCTTCGTCTTAAACATTCAAGTTCATAAATATGATCTCTTTTATTCTTTTCTTAACCATAATAATCTCCTCTTGAAGGCCAGAATTCTAGTAATCAATGGAGTTGAAAAGCCAATTTTCTAGCATAGTCTAGAACGTTCAAGTTCATACCTATATGTAATGAGAGGACACCCAATCAGGTTGGGTGTCATTTGGCTAGTCATGGGGATTTCAGAGATCTCACAAGATGCTGCTGGTGTTAAAGAAGATGCAGGGCTAAGTTCATTCCTTAATTAAGAAATCTTTCAAGGCCTATGCTACTACTTGATTGATAAAATATAGATATTTTGTCTCTGGATTTTTCTATCACTATCAAGTGAAGTAGATAGATAATATTGAAGGTAAACCTGTTTGTATTAAGAACTATAGGTTTTTGTAGAATAGGAGAGGCGGCGGTGCACTTAAAATCTGGGTCGACCTTTAACAGAAATTTCAAGGGAAGAGATAAAGAGAAGGATTATCGGACCATTGGAAACATGCAAAAGGAGCTGTCATCAAAGAGAGTCCATCTCCAATTAATTGCTTGGCGGATCTTGAATATTATACCAGCTATCAGCTTCATTTTTGGGTGATGTTTTGTTTTATGTGGCAACGATATGTTCATGTGTTGATTTGTTGTTCATAGGTTCCTAATGTGAAATGGGAAGATGCTGGTGGGCTTGAAGATGTGAAGAAATCAATTTTGGATGCTGTTCAGGTGAACCTCTTACTTATCTGTATGGCCTCCATAATTGCATTGCGCTCTATATTCTTTCAATCATTAGCTTCTAAAGGCAAACAGATTGAAACATGCCTCTATTATCTCAACCCTCCCATCTTTCTTCTAAAGATTTAAGCTGTGCATCAGATGATTCGAGCAAACTTTTTTGTAACACGATAAAGAAATGATACAAGCACCTCTTGATATGAGCAGAGTCATCACTGTCATATTGTTAATTTTCTACCCGTTTAGCTACAATTTCAACCTTATTGTAGAATTTGGCAACATTAACGATCTTGTCAGACCAGTTAGTAGTACATTTGGCAGATCAATGGGAACGGTCAGTATGTATCTATGTTTATTGAGTCCGGTGGGTGAGATACACATTGAGAAATGGCGTCCCATCCTTAGCACCACCATCATCCTTCAATCCCTGGAGAACTAGAGATTCTATCCCACATTCTCTCATGTTTCATAGGAATGAAGTGTACTATATCTCTACAGAGTGCTGCTGCTGGAAGTGGTTAAGAATTTCAAATGATGAACAAACATATTGAGGACATTAAGGAATTCAGCTATTAAGTTTTCTTTGACCTTTTTTTCAAATTGTAAACTTGGGGAATGCATTATGGTTTGTAAATCATATTGTCTGCCACTTGGTTTTTATTCAGCGACCAATGCTTGTAAATTTTTCAACTTTCTTATAGAATTTTATTACTGGGAACTGCCAATAGGTAGCGTGTGCTTTCTTTTGTATCTGAATCATTAACTCTGCTGTATCTGCAGTTACCTCTATTGCATAAGGAGATGTTTTCTTCTGGGTTGGGTAAGCTGTCTGGACTCTGGTGTTCTTCTAGATGGTCCTCCTGGAACAGGAAAAGTGAGTTCCAGCATACTAAATTGCAATATCATTATTAGCTGAAAAGAAAAGGTTGTCTCATAATTTCTTTTCTGTTATCCTTATTTTGAAGCTCAAACTTTGTTGGCAAAAGCTGTTGCAACAGAATGTTCCTAAAATTTTCTAATTGTATAAGGGCCCGAACTGATCAATGTATACATAGTTGAGTCAGAGCAAAATGTTGACATTTTCCACTAGGTAAGAATATTTTTTCCTCTTTGAACCAATACCCCATCAGAATGTTAGTACTAGTATGTATTTATACTCTGCAGGACTTTCATTTTGGAAAAAGATTTTGCTTTTACATGCTATTTGTTCTTACCACATCCTTTGCAGGCCATATAAGCACGTTCATGTGTTTTATGCTGTAAAGCGAAAGGTGGGTAGGTCATGTCTGAACAGTGCACGGAATTATTCATTACCTGTAAGTTTACGCAGCACCAAGGTGTCTCTCTTTACTCAATAGCTAAGAACCGTCCCCCTAACTTCACTAGAGTAGACATATATGCCTAGTGCAGATGCATGGTTTCATGCTGTAAAGCGAAAGGTTGGTAGGTCATGTCCGAACAGTGCATGGAATCAGTCATTGCCTGAGCTGTTCTTCGGACTGCAGGGCGAAGTGCATTGCTGATGATTTTGTTGTTTGCATTACCATCTTAAAAAGAGAGGCATATATTGTGATTTTTTTTTTTAATCCTAGTTTTAATCCATATTTCCTCCCTCCCTCAACTGCCCTCGTATGAAGAGGTGCTTGTATCATTTCTTTCCTTTATTCTGGTTGTGTTCAGATTCAGAATCTCCGCCCAGTGTGGATCAAGCTGACTCTGTTGTTGTGGAGTATGGCATTTGAGGTTACAAGGGAAGTTGCAATTAATTTCCATCTAATGATAACAGGATAAGCTATAGGATTTGTATCGAATTTGTATGATTGGACAGCATCCCTGTGATTGACTGTGAACGGAAAGACTAATCAACCGTGGAGGAAAAGTTGCATTGAGTTGCATGAGCATTTGATTTTTTATTAGGCCCAAAACTTAAATCACTCGTTAGATTTTGTGCTCTTAAAATGGTCCCTTAACTCTATATATATATCCTCTAATTTTCCTTTCATACTAAATCCTATCCTTTGTTAGTTTTTCTTTTCAATTTTATATATATATCCATGAAGTCATATAAACTAACGGCAAAAGCTAATCTGGCATGGTAATGCAAACAAGCGAATTATTACCAAGCAGTCTATTTGCCTTTTTTTTTTTAAAAAAAAAAGTGAATTATAATGTGTAGCATTTAGTTTAGAGTAAATTAAAAATTAATTCCCTCTTGTTTTTCAAAAGAAATTAAACAGTCCCTCTACTTCTACTTCATCTTGGTATTTTTTTTTAATAAATGCAGAGTAAAAAATATAGAAAGATTAATGAGAAAATAAGATATATCTTAAAAAAAATAGCTAACGTTAAATGAACCAACCATGATTAATACTTATCAAGAGATTAATTAATTAGTTTTTAAAACAAGATGAAATGTTTAATACTTCTTGTAAAATTAGATGGATTGGTTTATAATTTACTTGTATTTGGTTTATTACAGTAGCTTTTTTTCTTTTTTCTATATGGATTTATTTGAAGTCCTATGCCGTCAGATGCATACACAATGAGTAGTAGATTTTCCTGTTCTCGAATTATACTCGCGTTAATAGAGTTGGAACGAGATGATTTCTCGGGAGTTCTTGTAAACTTTTCCGTACATAAAAGGATTACATATGTAACAGTTCAATCTCTGATAATTTATTAGAAAAATCATGTTTTTATCATATTTATTTATAAATAGCTAAGATGCTCACACGTATATTATGTAAAAGGATTACAAAGTTTGTTTTGTCATATTTCTTTTGGTTTTAATATTACTCTTTAAAAGCATACTGTAAAAACATAAACTCGGCTGCTAAATAAGAAATTTGATTTTAATTTGCTTTTAAAAACATTAATCTGATCAATCACGAGTGCATTTATGGAATTAGATTCTCTACTTTATAATGTTTTTAATTGGTACGTTATTTAAACAACGAGTCAGATTCTTTTACTTTTGTCCGAACTTAATGATTGACGTACACAAAACTTTTATACCATATATTATGTTCGTTTAAAACATTTTATGACATATGCATTAAATATCTGTAAATTTATTGAGATATATTTGAGGTTTTTTTTTTTTGCAAATTCCAATATATATATATATTGGAATCTTTTCTTTGCAAGTTTTGTAATAAATTCTATACGGTTTGGATTTACTTTAATTAATTTAATAAGGCTCTAAAGACATATCTCGACGTTCAAGAATTAATATTTTTACTTAGGCTCTTTTTGTTTCTGAAAAATAAGTTTTAGGAACTTGCTTTTTTTTTTTCAATATTTCAATATTTGTTTCGCGTTTAGAAAAAAAAGTTAATGGAATTTGATTTTCGATCTTAACAGATTATTTTTGAAAAAAATGACTTTTCAGTTAAAAAAAAACATTTTCTCTCACTCATGAGTTGTTTCGTTCTCGTGTTACTCGCTTCTCTTTCGATATATTTTAACAATTTTTTTTCTGTCTCTCTTTTTATTTAAAACATATCAAATTAATTTTAATTATTTTCTATTTTCTATTAATAATTATTTAATTATTTTTTCTCTTTTTTCACTAATATTTGATTTTTTGATTTATAAATACATTAAATATTCTTACAAATCATTTTTACACCTTGAAATTATTTTTATCATAAATATTTCAATAATTTATCTCTATTTTTTTTTACCATTATCTCAAACACCACGTAAACTATAATTAATTATTGTATATGATTATTACAAGATTGCAATCATTTGTGAAAAATTTGAAACTAATTAATTCATTAATAAATACATTATTTTTTCAATAATATTCATTTGTAAATAAATCAATAATTTGTGACTGATCTTAATCGGTTATAAAATTTTATTGGTAATTGTAATCAATAATTAGTTATAAATTATTTTAACATTAATCTTTTGAAGCCAAATGAATAATTATCTACAGATGATAACTAATAATTTGTAAAAATATTTTTTAGACTAAATTATCAGTTGAATTTCGAAAAAGAAAAAGAATTCTTAATTGAGTTACTAAAATAATAATTTTTATATTGACTATTATGGATGTGAAATCTTTTAATAATTTTTATATTATGAGATTGTGAATATGCCTTGTTAAAAGTTTCCTCAAAACTTATTGATATAACAATTATAGCATGTTTTTGTATTTCAATTTTATGTATCAAATAAATACTAGAATATATTTTCTGAAAGTTTTTTCATGTAATTATCAAACGTCATAAAATATTTTTTTTAAAAATAATTTTTACATAATAATTTTTTTTATTGAAAGTTGTTTTTTGCTAAACAAATAAAGCCATAGAAATTTCAAATTTATGTTAAAAAATATTTGAAATGGGAATTTAGGAACTAGAATACTCTACTTCTCACTATGTTTCCTGAGGCCAATTCTGTCTTCCGACAACGAGAGTCGAATCTAATAAACATATTGTTTTTAGTTATATTTATGCAATGAAATCTATAAATAACTTATGTTTGTGGTAAGAAAATTTATAAATAACCTAATAAAGTTCACATTTAGGTGCATTTACGGAGAGAAAATCTATTAAATATTAACTAATATAGTACAAAACTTCATGACAAACGTGATAAAGTTTGTAAACTTACTTCAGCTGTGCTTTGACAAACAAAATTAGAAAAATTCCAAAATAAATTGATAGTTTTTTTTTATTGATTTTAAAATTATATAATATAAAATTTAACAAAATGCAATGAAAAGCATAAAAAAAATATTATTATAATTTTTTTTTTAAAAAATCAACATATTAGATTATCGTCTTTCATTCTACGTGTAGCTGTAATAAAAATGCAATTGAATTTTTTTAAACCTGGATTAAGTTAAGAGAGTTAAGATGGATAGCTATGTTTGTGGTTACTTCAAAACAGACGGATTACAATGCCTTTAAATTTACAAAATACTAAAATGATATTAACATGCAATAAGAATAAATGTTTGTTAGTTCTGCGATCATTTAAAAAAAGTTTTTGTACAACTTCAAAAATATTTTTTTAACTCTCTAAGGTAATATGAAACATTTTTTTATTGACTTGTACTCAATTTGTAATTATTGTAATTAAATAGTAATTAGTTAGATTACAAAAAGTTAAAATAGTTTTTTTATTTTTTTATTTTTTTGCATCTAGTGAATCTATACCATAGTTCTTAATTACTTATAACGAAGTAAATAATATTTATTTTCTTTTTGAAAGTAACAATATATCTTTAAAGTCATAATTGTATAATAATATTAGTAATTTATATAATTACAAAATAATACATCACAAAGTGGTAACATTAATTACGAAGATACAATAAATAAAAATATTTAATTTTATATAACTTGAAGGTATTATAATTATAATGTTTTCAAATAACCATAGAAATAATCCAAAAAAATTATACGAAGATCAAATTTAAAGGCATGCGTGCAAGCTCTAAAACTCCACGTGCGTTACACTAAGTCAAAATCACTAAATTTCAGACAAAGGAACGCAGTTAAAGAACACAAATATAGAGATCAAAATAGGATTGATGACATATTTCATTCTTCCATCCCTGACATTTTCTTAATATGATATTTTTACTTTAAATATTTTTCAATGTAAACTCATTTAAGGAGATTTGATCTAATTTTCTAATCACAAGTGGCATGAATCACATGTTAGATAAAACTGACACAATAAACAAAAATGAAGAATAAAAAATTAATAAAATGAAACTTAAAAATTGATTCACGAGACTCAACGAGAAAAAAACAAGAACGGTTTTAGAAAACTTTAGTGTGTAAGTAATCAAAAGGCAAAATGATAAAAGGTAAATTGAGGTTTTTTCATGAAAGATGAAGAGGCAAAATTACATGGTGGTGTGAGAGCGGTGTCTTCGTAATTTCTTCACTTTGACAGTTCTTTCTTTTGACCTTACAAAGCAAAAAATAATAAAAAAAGAACAAATATTATACTTGAGTGCATTAAGCATCCAGAGAGAGGTGTAAGTTGGGCAAATTTATTATATTTATAAAAAGTTTCCTATATTTTTTCAATTTTATTTTGACATGTTAGTTCACCTATTACTTGTTATTACAAAATTGGCCAGAATTCCATCAAATGAATCTTATTAAAAAAATGTCTAAAGTAGAAGGACCAAATAAATTAAAAAGAGCAGGTGTCACATTAAGATAATGTCAAGAATAGAAGGACTACATATGCCATAAATCCGGTCCAAATGTAAATATTAAACAAATAATGTCGAGTAAATTACCCGTCTTTATTTTTCTCTCTGGTGCGATCGTTCTGTTGCTTCCTTTATTTCAAAATAAATAAATAATTTAAACAAATAATTTCGTTACAAGCAAAAACAAATTTAAAAAAATGAATTAAAACAAAATAAGGAAAAAAAACCCAAAAAAAAAAAAGGAAGGAAAACAAAGAAATGACGCGGCTGCTGTAAAAACCAAAAAACCAGAGGGAGAGGGGGAGAGAGAGCGTTGGGTAATTGATTCCAGCTACAGAGATCGCACCCAAGCGAGAACCCAAACCCAATAAATCAATCCAATTTCCTTTTTTTTTCCCCATTATCGAGTCATTTGTTTAAATTTTTAACTAATACTTTGTTATTAAAAGAATAAAAATTCAAACATCGGTTGTTACCGATTTGAATCTAGTAGTGATCGGGTCCAATTCACTGGAAATCCGTGGTGGGTTTTCGGTTTTGTGAAATGGGTCGGCTTTGTGTTTTTGTTTGGGATTGTAGAGAGAGAGAGTTATGAATTTGTGGGCTTAAATTATTATTATTATTATTTTATTTTTACTCTTGTTATTGTTTGATGATTTCTTTGGGGAGGAGAGATGCGAGAGAAGAAGTAGGGTTAGGGTTTGGTAGTGAGAGAGAGATGGAAGATATTGAGCTCGAGGAAGGAGAAGCTTACTCTTACCATAATATCAATAACAACAACGACGACGATTATGATGCGAGCATGGACCCTGATACTACTCTCTCTTACATAGTAAGTTTTTTCTTTTTTATATACATGTGAGAATAATTTAAGTTTGATTTTAATTTTGTGATAGTTTGGTTTTGTCAGTGCGGTGTATCATCTGTTGACTTCATTTTTTGTTGTTGTTCTCTTATGCTTTAGATCCAAATTACGATTTAAGTCTTAATTCTGGTTGTTTGCAATGCTGAGTATGGTAAATTCTTATTTAATTACCGTGTCCTTTCTGGTCCTTGAGAGAATAACTGCTCTGGGTTTTGATTGTGTTTAGGTATGGAAGTACAGATGAAATAAGAAGGTTTTTGTTTAGTTCTAGGGTTTTATTGGTTTTAGACGTTTAAATACGGTGTTTTGTCTTGGTATGATCTACCAAGTGAACGGAGAAATGTTTCCATCTTGGTCTATTCATGCTTATGGAGACATAAAATATGTATTGAGCTTGTTCAGCTGGTATAAAGCAGCACTCGGTTATGGCCAGCGATTGTATGGACTCTGCAAACACATGCAAGTTTCAAAAAGGAAGCTTTTGGAAACTTTAACTTATCATTTGAGCAGCATGAAACCGATTATTGAAATTTGAAATTTTGATATGTGAGTCTAGGTTTCCATATCTGGATTAGAACAATGAGTAAACATTCTTAATTCACTTATATATGTTCCTGACACATAATTGCCTCTCGAAATTAGTTGAAGTTTGTGGCACCTGGACATACAACATGAGATGTATGGGCTGTTTTTTATTCCAATGCTTGCTCCTTTTTCAATTATTGGTTGTTCCATCAGTTCATACCTGTTTCTATCTGTACTTTCCTTCTTTTCTGATATGCAACTGCTTTCTTGTATTTCTTTTTTTTTCAAGGATGAAAAACTACAGGATGTCTTGGGACACTTTCAAAAAGATTTTGAAGGTGGAGTTTCAGCTGAGAATTTGGGTGAGTCAATGTACCTCAGAAGTGCGGTCAATATAAGCTAAAACAATGGCATTAAATTAGAGTCCATAATTTGATATTTATTGTTTTGGGATTTCACATTTCTATAGGGGCAAAGTTCGGTGGTTATGGTTCATTTTTACCTACCTATCAGCGGTCTCCTGTTTGGTCTCACTCAAGGACCTCACCAAAAATTCAACATTGCAATGCATCTAGATCTCCAAACAATTTGCAAATGGAGGTGGATAAATTTTCATTATTGAGCAAATCACTTGTTAATAATTGATTTAAAGAAGGAATCTTTAACTAAATCTTGGTCGATCTTGGACTTATTATCTTGAACATTTTGATATTTTTCCTTAAAACAGGGTGGCCGCCGTAGCTCTGTCTCATCGTCAACTACATCTCAATTAGTAAGACTCGAACCTTCTTCTACAGTACTGAAAGAGTCGGTTAAACAAGAAGCACATCTTCCATCCACTCATTTTTCTGAGGAACTTTTTCCTAGAGATGAATCTGTAAATAAGAAATCTGCTAGTTTACCCGACCAGAAAATGCTGAAAGTTCGAATCAAGGTCGGTTCAGATAACTTGTCAACAAAAAAAAATGCTGCAATCTATAGTGGTCTTGGGCTTGATGTCTCGCCATCTTCCTCACTGGATGACAGCCCCTCCGAAAGTGAAGGGATGTCTCACGAGCCTCAAGATGCTCATCTTGAATCTCCTGCTCATATTCTTCTGGTAAATTATCTCTCTGCATGTTTCTAACCTGTTGCTTACTATCTCACTTTGTGTTGGACCTTGGCAGTGACGAGAATGTGTTTCTTTTGATTTTGTCATCAAGCAGATAATGACATCTTTTCCAGTGCATGGAGGTCTGCTGCTATCACCTCTTTCTGATGATCTACTCCACTTGAAAGAGAAGGAAAAATTACTTAAAGACAGTGAATGCTTGCCTGTTCAAAGGTTTGGTCCAGAAAGTTCTTGCATTGTAGTGAATGGGTCTAGCTCTGTAAAGGGTGATGGGACAATGTTTGGAGAGAAGCAAATGAAGTCAATAGTGAGAAATGAGCTTTCGGCAGAATCAAAGAACGATATTAATAAGAATTCTGTGAGTGGTGTTGGTGTTATATCGAAGTTGATAGAACTTGACACCTTTGATTGTGAGGAGCTTGTTTCTAATACCTTAAAGCTTCCACCTTTGTCAAATTCATATTCTGGTGTTGCTGGTACTTCAAAAGGAATGGGTAGGGCATCTAAGATGTCCAAGGGAACGATGAGTGACAAAGTTTTTTCTAGTCTAGCAAAAGAGGAACCACATGTGCCAATACTCGCTCAAGAGAGTGGCTGGATCAAGAATTCCAAATCCAAGTTCTCTGGAAAGGTTTGGGAAGATAGAAAAGCTAGCACTCTTGGCAGTGATTCAGTCTCTCTATGGAAAGATGGCCATCGCAAAGTTGAAAAGCCTCTTGAATCAGTCAAAATTGACTCAAATGTTTCAAAGGGGAGGAAGGCTCTAAATCAGGCTCCAACAGAACCTCCCAAGCAGAATGCTGATGAGAAAGCTATGTTCTATGAACAGGAAGGTATGAAGTTACCTCATGTGAAGGAGTCCTCTTCTGAGGGAAAAAAGAAACTAAAGGGAAGTCAAAGTCATGATACTGTAGTTGATGAGGCACCGAATGAGAGTTTGAGGTTTGGCTCGTCTTTGGTACCGAAAAATAAGAAGAGCAGTTATGCGGACAACTATACAACTAAAGGGGAGTCAGGGGACTTGAAATTACAAAAGAATTCTGGAAAAACTGGGGATAGATATAGAGATTTTTTTGGGGACATGGAACTAGAACAAGAAGAAATCCAGAGGAGTGCGTTGGTAAAGAGTTACGAGGATAGGCCAGAGGACTTTGAAATGGTTGAAAAGAGTACGGTTGGAACTAACAGTATGTCCAAGGAACAATCAAGCAGTAAGAAAGTGGATAAGTTGTTAACATCTGAAGCATTTCCTACAGCTGCTTCAATTGGTGCTGTACACAATGGAGGCGGGCCCATAGCTGATACTGCTCCTGGTGAAGAGAACTGGGTCTGTTGTGACAAGTGTCAAAAATGGCGGCTTCTTCCACCTTGTACAAATCCTGATGATCTGCCTGAAAAGTGGTTGTGTAGCATGCTTGACTGGCTGTAAGTAGACTTTTACATTTTATACCTATTACAATGAAACAACCACTCCTATTAAGTAGTTAGAAATAAAATCTGATGGTTTAATGCCTCTTCCTCTAACTCTGGTGTTTGATTTTAAATTATAAATGCCTTAGGCCTGGTATGAACCGGTGTAGTTTTAGCGAGGATGAGACAACACTTGCAACTTGGTCTCTTAGACAAAATAATACTGGTGGGGTTATATCCAAAGTAACTGTGGCTGATGTTCGGTATCCTGATCAGAGTCACCAAAATTTTAGTTTACATGCTGTTCTTCCTAATGGAAGAAAACAGCATGGCTTAAAAGAGTTACCAAATATGATGTATAAAGAAGATGGACCTACTCAATTGTCAAACCCTACAAAGAAGAGCTTACTGGTGTCGGTGATAAATGGAAACTTAAATGATGTGAAACCAGCTCCCATCGTAAGCGAACCTGATTCTTTGAAACTGAGCAAGTCTAGCAATTTAGCTGTGGATAAACACAAACATAAGCCAAGAGAGAAGCATAGAGGACTGGACAACTGTTCTGAACCAGGTAGTGGATTTAAAATAGCTTTTTACGCCTATAACTTCCTTTTCTTGAAGCTTGAAAACCTTATTTCTTTGCTAAAACACACAGGTGGTGGTTCTAAGCGATCAAAGGGGAAAGTCAAAAGAGGCTCTGATCAAGATTGTTTTAGAGAGAATAAAAAAATCAGAATTGAAGGTTTGCCAGAAGATTGGATGTCGGATCATGGTGGGGCAATTGAAAAGGTGGACCCTACTTCAAGCAATGGTTTGGCTACTATGTCATCAGGGAAGAATCTTCCGAAATACAATGACTGTACTTCTAAGAACATAAAGCATTTTGAAAAGGATCGGCCCCAACTTTCTGCTAAAAAACTGAAGGGTGATGTCCGCCTGTCCTCGGATAATGGGTCTGTCGATATGGTGAACTGTGATGATAGAGACACCAAAAAGAGGAAAGTGAAAGAAATTCATGATGCTCAACTCTATCTGGGTTCTGTTCCAAACACAGGGCATCATATCCAGGATAGTAATATCTTGGCCAAGGAGGAGTTCAGTGAGAATGATTATGGGAAGAATAAGAAGGCCAGAGTATCCAGGTCTGAAGGGAAGGAGGCCAATGGAAGTAAAAGCTATAGTAGAACAGACAAAAAAGGTAGTCATAGAAAGAACCCGCAGCTGGTACATGAGCTAGGGAGCACCCTATCTCAGCGGAGCTTGGATGGTGTGGATTCTTTGAAGAGGGATTCTGGATCATTACATCTGGCAGCTACTTCTAGCTCTTCCAAAGTTTCTGGTTCCCATAAAACCAAAGCCAATTTCCATGATGCAAAAGGCTCACCAGTAGAATCAGTTTCATCATCACCTATGAGAGTTTCAAAATCGGAAAAACTTACATCAGCAAGAAAGAATGTCACCAAGAAAGATGACTCTGCTGATGCTGGTTTCTTTGCCCTAGGTGGGCCGCAAAGATTTCCAGATGGGGAAGATGATGGTGGGAGCGATCGATCCAGGACAGCAAGGAATGCAAAAACTCTTGTGCAGAATGTTTCTTCTTCAGATATTGCTAATGGCCTCCTCACAGATGGCGGTGTAGATATTTTAAGCCAAAACACTCCATATCTTAGTAAACCTGCAGCTTTGAATCAATGCCATGACGATGAAACACAAAACAAAAGTCACGATCTTGTGAATGGGTATCGTCCAACGAAGTCTGGAAAGCATTCTTCTTCACAGTCCAAGGACAAGAATAGGAATTTTAATTCTGAATTTAAAAACGAAGTTAAGGTTTCCAAGACCTTTAATGCACAAGCACCTTTGCGTGGAGTAAACCCAACAAATTGTAAAAACAAGACTGAAGTGGAGTTTTGGATCAACTCTGAGGAAAATGAGAATAGATATGTTGAAAAGAAGGACTCTGCAGGACAAGTGTTGAGTGATGATAGTAAAACAGAGAATCAGTTAAATGTTGGGGGACCCGGTGGTTCAGATGTTAAAATAGGTGGTACTGACAACCATAATACAGCCTCTACTCTAAATCAGAGTGTGCAAATAGATGGTGAAACAGTCTCTGAGAGAGGGAAGTCTCAATCATTGCCTCCTGGAGGAGCTCAAAATGAGACAATTGCTGACTGCCCTCATCCAAATTCTGCCTCTGCTGGGGATAATGAAATGAAGGAGTCGAAACAGATTAGGAAGGCTGATCATCCAAACAGGATTCATCATCGTCTTAGCAGTTCCAAAAATGCCTCATCAAATGGGCACAGGGTCAGGGATCTTGATGCTCCAAGTCCGGTTAAAAGGGATTCCTCCAGTCAGGCTGCTAACAGTGCTATGAAAGAAGCTAAAAATCTGAAACACATGGCTGATCGTCTTAAGGTTTTTACCATTGATCTTTTAAGAATTTGTTTTCTTTAGTATGCAACTCTTTCCAATGTTGGCTACATTCTGCAGAACTCTGGTTCAAATCTTGAGAGTACAAGGCTTTACTTTGAGGCGGCTCTGAAGTTTCTTCATGGAGCATCTCTGTTAGAAACCTGTGGCGGCGATAATGCCAAAAATGGAGAGCCGATGCAAGTTTACAGTAGCACTGCGAAGCTATGCGAGTAAGTCATAGTATATGGCTTGATGAAGGCACTTCTTTATTTTCTTTTGGTGGGTGTGGTGATATGGGGTGTTCAAATGTTTTTCAGAACCATGGAATCTTGCCTTTTCTATTTGTTTGTTTATCTGTTTAAAATTGCAACACGGCGGCTCTTGTTGTTTAGGTAGTTAGAACTGTCCGTATAGATGCTGGAAAAGCAGGTGCCATGAAAGTGTTTGTCTTGCTCATTTTCAGTATGTTGGGATTTGATAATCCAGCTATTCGACCATATATGGTACTCAGCTTAGGTTAACTTGGGCTTTCGTATGACATCTTTTCTTTGGTTTTTAAATTACAGAATTCTCTTTCCACTTATTAATTGGCCATTTTTTTTATTTGTTGCATTGATGTTTTTGTATTTGTTCCTTTTTGGGTATTGTATGGATGTAATTTCATGACTTAACTACATAACTTCTGCGTCATACTATGCGAACTATGACTCTTAGCTCTCGTTTTTGTTGTTAGTCTGTTGTTTGACTTCTCTCAAACGTGTTTTCCTACTTGAATTCTGTCTGTTTCCTGGATATATCTCTGTTAGGGAGTTTTTGTGAGTTTTGGGATTGTATTTTCCAATTATGATTTCATTTCTGAAAAAAAGAGTTCTTGCTGCTATTGTGCTACCTTCCTTTGCTAAACTACTTGATATTTTAGGTTCTGTGCCCATGAATATGAGAAATGCGACGACATGGCTGGTGCTGCTCTGGCCTACAAATGCATGGAGGTTGCATACATGAGGGCGATTTATTCCTCACATACCAATGCAAATAGAGATCGGCATGAGTTGCAGATGGCTTTGCAAATTATTCCTCCAGGTAATCAGAAACAAGCCGTGATCTCTCCTTTAATCTTACGTTCACATATATATGCGTACAAGCATGTGTATATGTGTATGTGTGCGTGTGTGTGTGTGTGTGTGTGTGTGTGTAGATATATATGGGATGATACTGATTTGAACCAGACCTCTTAGACTTCTTACACAGGAATAGCGTACACTTCTGAAGTGTCAAATAATCTTCGAACATGGTTCTAGTGTAGCAAGAAGAATCCAAGTAAAATTCCTTTTCACTTATTTTGGGTTCTGTTGGGTGGTGGTGGGGTGACGTAGGGAGAAAAGACAAAAGATAGCTAAAGATAGGTAACACAGCCAAGGCTGGGTGTCAGGCTGAACGGCCACAAAAAGGGAACAAACCTCTTATAAAATTGTCAAAACATCAAAGGTATATCTTATTGCAGCAGTAGCAGTCCTTGAATACTTGTTAAAGCCCTAAATCCTTGTAGGAAAAGGATTCCTAGTCTTAGTCGACAAGTAAAACTACTTAGTCTATGAAGTAAATACTTTAAAAAGTGACATGCTAATCACATGACACTAGATTAATTAATAACCCTAAGATCATAAATTTTCTAAAGAAAGCTTCTGCGTCATTCTTCCCAGGTTGGTCCTCGAGTTGAAATTGTTGCCTCAATCGCATGGATGCCCAATAAAGACTCTCCAACCCCCTTTCTTTCTTCGCTTCAGGTGTATAACAATTCTAGATATCAACTTCAGTCCCCTACTGTAAAATTTTGCATAAGAAACATCAATTGGCAACTCATTTCTCTTCCATTGACTTGTAGAGTAATGAATTGCAAACCTCAAACTTGCTTCATCAATGTGTGTTTCATCCATATAATCCTTGAACAAATCAGCCTTTGTGATAATAGCAAGCTTGTAATCAAACGGATCAACATAGCCTAAATCAACAATTTTCTTTTGTTGAGCAGCTTCCACGTTCTCTTTGCACTCAACCTCAAGCTTGTTAATGAGGACATTGTTGCTGCCATTACTGTCATTGTTAATGCCTTAATTAATGTTATTATCATTATCAAAATAAACATCTTAAATTGGTGGAGAATCCCAATCAACATCTATCTCATCTAGATTGGTTAAGAAATCCAATCCATAACTTCTTCTTTCTCAACAAATAGTACTTTCTGCTCTTCAACTCTCTTCCTTCATTGAAGTGCTGTGTTTTTTCCCTCTTCCAATCCACCTCGCACCATATGATTTATGCTCCAAAAGAGTCTTGATCCTTATGACTACCTTCTGGATTGTCTAAGGGGTTTTGGTCACCTTCTAAAATCTCCTTTAGGGCTTCCACTCTAATTTCAAGCTGGATTAGTACCTCTTGCTGGAGTTGGTTAAGCATCCCTCGCAACTCCAACATCTCTTGGTTTTGATTTAACCTAGAAACTCTTGCTTGCTTGCCATCACCAAAATTGGGATCTATTTTGTGCTCTAATACCAATTAACGTAGGGAGAAAAGGCAAAAGATAGCTAAAGATAGTGAACGCAGTCAGAGGCTGGTTGTCCAGGCTGAACAGCCAGAAAACGAGAAAAAACTCTATAAAATAATAATAATAAAAAAATCAAAGTTATATCTTATAACAGCAGTAGCAGCCCTTAGATCCTAGTTGAAAACCTAGATCCTTATGAGGAAAGGATTCCTAATCTTAGTCCACAAGTAAAAATACTTAGTGTATGAAGGAAATACTTTAAAAAGTCACAAGCTAATCCCATGACCCTAGATTAATTTGGGGGAGGGTTTTTCAAATATGTTACCAGATACCGAGGTTTTCAATGTGACTTGTTCAATTCATCAATATATTCTCTTGAAGGAAACATTTTATAATTAATAAAGGTTGTCCAAGTTTTATGTCTGCTTAATTTATGCTTTTTTATTGATATATGTTGTCATGTATTGGTATTCTCTCCTCAGGTACTTGACATATGTTTCTCTTATTTCTTTTGTCATATGAACATTTTGTCACTCGTTGGCATTTAGCTTTTCTAAATGCTTGATGTGGCCATTCAACGGGTGCTTATGAATTGCTGTGATGCCATTCTTGTGTCATAATTTATAGGTGAATCACCTTCTTCTTCTGCCTCTGATATCGATAACCTGAACCACACAACAATAGACAAGGTTCCCTTAACCAAAGCTACTAGCTCACCTCAAGTAACTGGAAGCCACATCATTGCTGCGCGGAATCGTCCCAACTTTGTGCGGTTGCTCAGATTTGTAAGTATATTCAGATTTTATGTTAGAAAAAGCTCAACATGCCATTTGATATCTCATTGAGGAATTTGCTTTAGAACATTACTTTGAATGCTGGAATATAAAGATATTGGCCAAGGAATATATTTGGATTACAACCTACAGAAAGTTTGGCTGGAAAAGACTTATATTGATTACTGTTTCCTTCCCAACACAAGAGCATCCCATTTATTCCTTGTTATGCACCATGGGCCATGAAATTGTCACTCGTCATTGTCAGTGTTTCTGAGCTAATCTAACCATCAGACGTCATATCTTACAGCATCTGGTTCTCCATTATTTGGTTCACAACTTTACATCCGTATGAGATGGTTGGGAATGTTAGCATCATTAAATGTGATTTTGCAGGCACAGGATGTAAGTTCTGCAATGGAAGCCTCTAGAAAATCACGCCTTGCTTTTGAGGCAGCTAATATCAGCTTGGGAGAAGCCCGAGGTGGAGAGGGCATGTCTTCCATTAAAACAGCTCTTGATTTTAACTTTCATGACGTGGAGGGACTACTACGTCTGGTGCGGCTTGCAATTGAAGCTATTAGCCGTTGAAGAGTCCAGTTGTTAATGGAGATGATAACAACCTTGGAGGAATTCTTACTTGGTTGGTGTATTCTTGGGATTTGGCCTTTCAGGAAAGGAAAGAAGGCAACTTGATCTCTCTGTTGCTGTACTTGATACGTGTTTTGAGGGATCAGTTATCAGCAAGATGCCAACTCGGTGCTCTTTGTACATGTGTATACTACAGGATAGTGTATTCTTTTTAATCATACTTCAGCTGCTCTCTGATGTAGACAAGGGCCTCACTTGTTTAAACCATTTCACGATTGGTGTTGGGGACAATTGATTCACAAGACTTTTGTAAAGAGAATTTGGAGACTGTAGAAATAAGGAAGTTTTTTGGTCCAAAATGATCGTGGCTCGAAAATAATGGAATAAGGGTAGAGATCCCCAATTATATAGTTAAGTGGGATTGTTCTGAAAACCAGAGGATCCCATCTTTATGGAGATTGTTTTTTATTTTTCCTGGATGGAGTTCCCGTTTTGTCATCATGTTAGTTTGCTCTTCACAACTCATTGGAAGACGTTTTGAGGATGGGAAACTGTAACTTACGTGCCGCTAACCTCATGATCTCAATTTGATGGTCAGAGACCACAGTTTCTTTGGTCCAAGCACTAAGTAAAGATGACTGGGCATTCTCAGGTTGGCTTCCCTATTCATTTCCTCTCTCTTTCTCTCTCTCTCTTTTTTTCCAGTGAGCAATACTTTGTTTTCCTGTCTCCTCTATCATCAATTTTTATTCTGTTTCTTCTACGTTTTTGCAGGTTACCTTCTTGAGCATCTGTAATTGCAGTTTTCCCCTTCTTTTAATAGAGAGAGTAGGAAGAAGTTGGATAGTTACATAATGGAAAAATAACTCTACTGTTGCATGAGGTGAAGTTAAGCCATAGAAGGTTTGTGGAGTAAGTGAGTAATAGTAGTTGTGAACATTTAGTTGGATTGTTTATTGTTCTAGTGTGTGATCACTTCTGACTCTCGCCCTCCCTCCTTTGCAGTGGCTGTTGTGTACCTGCAAAAGCAAGTTATCTCTAAGGGAATGGTTTTGAGGGTTGGTCCAGTGGGAGTGGTACATGCTAAACCTTCAGCCAGCAAAAAACAGTAACAGGTAAAGCAATTCTCTCTGATTTCTAATTGAACATGACTGGAATTATAAAATGCATTCTATTATTCTAATCAAACCGGAACTCTTCCTTTATTTGTCCATGTTCGTGGTAGACAATTGTTTGGAAATGAATCTATGTATGTTGTAGTAATTGATCAATGACTTCTGACTGATAAAGAGGTATGGCCTAACCAGTTAAACCTCTGGTAGTTCACCCTATTGCAAACTGCACGAAGGAAGAAACTACTTGCTGTTTGATTTTTCTTTGGCTTGTGTTTACCATATTAAAAATGTGGTCAGCTGTCCTCTAAGCTGGGATTCTGTTTTCAGGTTCAGCGATTGGGGTAGTTGCAGTGGCAGTCTTGCTGGTTTTTGCTCTATATGCCTCAATTAGTTTATGCTATTTTTTTCTTCCCTCCACTTCTGTTCCGTTCCTCTTGATTGTTTTGTTATTCTACGACTATGTTCATATTTGGTTGTACCTTAAATGAATTATGCGATTCTGACCTCCACCTCCAATCCATCCCCACTGATCTTTGTGCTCACCTTCTTCATCACATGTATCAATAAAGTCGTAGGCGTGCGCCCATTAGGCAGAATATTTTATGAAACATCAACGAAACTTTAGGGCCAAGGAGTCAATTTTTTTTTCTGACTTAAGTTGTAAAATTGGAAAACTTTGAAGAAGTGAAAATACAGCTAATTGTGTTGTTTTGATCTATGGAAATAAGTTACGCCGGTACCCATTGAATAATAACGATTATACTCAACGTGCGTCATCTTCTCTATCTTTTATTCTTGTATCTTCAAAGATAAATAAATAAATAAAGACAACAACGAAATTAGAAGGCCAAAATTCTGGCAAGTAATGGACACGAAAAGGATCAATTTTCTAGCTTATTCTAAAACATTGAAGTTCATGCATGGATGCTCCAAGCCCAAAGAGGAAGAGGGTTGCAATAAAAAGGTCAGAGAGAAATCAAATTGATAAAATATATGGAGAGGAGAAGACTCCCAATCAGGGTCAAGGGAAGATATAAAGATAAGGATTGTCAGACCTGATTATTTATTTATTTATTTTTGAAGAGGGACATGTTCCAACATTACTATATTTGATATGTAACCAACAAGATAAATTTCATAAAATGTTTATTCCATTTATTTTGGAAGCATATATTATTAACACACTCTTATATTCTTGTTAAACCATATAGATTTTTGATGGCTTGAAAACCATTCATTTTTATTAGCTTGTATCTATCTATCTATTAAGTATGAGTAAGACCAAAAAGCTTACCTTCGGTTTTAATTAAAAACGAGGTTCAAGCACGATTTTTATCCCTCAATTCGGGTTCGATGCCTATTACAAGAATCGTTATCTCAAGCCTTCCTTCCATGCTCAAGTTTCAAATTACTTGAATTTTATGATTGGATTTGTTTGAACCCAAATGATTGAATTCACACATTAGGGTTACATAAATTAAATATAACTTTACATAATGAATGAATTCTCTTTAAGTTAAAAGCAACGTATCATTTTTGCATTATTCCATAAAATATATGTCATAGTTTGATTTACGAAAACATAATGGCTTTTTCTTTTATTTTTTGACTTTTTTTCCTCCAAATATTTCTTGTGAAATATATATAAATACAAATAAGTACTACTTAAAATAGAAAGATTGTGATCTATTGGATGATAATTTTAATTTGAATCTACTATTTTTTTTTTTTTTGATCTTCTAGTATATTCTAAATCTAAAATTCTAGATTAATTTTTTGTTATTTTATTGGATGTAGAAAACTCAAATAACTATTCAGAAAATAATTAACATATATAAAGAATTGAATTGGAAACTTTTTGTTTAAACAATTAAAAATTATGAATTTTTTTAAAATTTATTATTGTATTATTATTATTATTATTTATTTTTTTAAGAAATAGCATAGAAATTATTTTGAGCCCACCGAATAACTTCGATGCGCGGTACACACGCGCGCCAGCAGAATTGGGCGTGTGGTTTTTAAGTTTAATTTCTTTTTTCTCACGTGTTAGTTTGGGTCCTAGTCTGCTCATCTGCAGCTACCTATCCCCAATCCACGCATCTCCCTCTAGCTCCTTGATCTCGTAACCCTAACCCTAATGCAACCCTTGTGTTATTTTTTCCAGAGATCATAAAATTCTTTACACTGCAACTGTAGTGTAATGCGTATTTGTGCAGGTAGATCGAAAATCAAGACTCCAGTTCTCGAATCTGACAATGGAGGATTTGACAGAGACAGAGATTGGGAGCTCTGTCGAGTCGTTTCAAAAGTTTGTGGATTCGCAGAGAGAGCTTTTCCACAACCAAATCGATCATCTTCAAAGAATTGTTGTCACTCAATGCAAAATCACCGGCGTCAATCCTCTTTCTCAAGAAATGGTACGTCTTTTCTTATTAATTTATTTATTTTTATAAATTGTTTAGTTCTTATGGCTTTTTCCCCTTGCTATAACTAACTTTTATGAAACCATTCACAGGCGGCTGGCGCTCTGTCGATAAAAATTGGTAAGTTTTAGGGCTTTTGCCTTGCTTTTTTTGTAGATATACTACATGAATATGATTCCATTATTCTGCTTGTGTCTTGCTAATGATCAAAAGTAGTGTTAATTTTGCTGCTTTTGGTCAGTACTGACATCATCAATCGATTTGGCAGGAAAAAGACCTAGAGATTTGATAAACCCTAAAGCTGTCAAGTATATGCAAGAAGTTTTCTCTATTAAAGATGCAATCAGTAAGAAGGAATCACGTGAGATTAGTGCTCAATTTGGTGCTACAGTCACACAGGTGATTTTTCCTTTCTTTTATGCTTAAAGTCTCGTTTGGTACAAAATTCGTACATTTACTTTTTACAGACATTTGTTTTCATTACACTACATATATCTACATGGATTCAGAGATATATGAGTGCAGTTATATTGCTTTTCTGCAATCTGTTGTTGTTTTTATCCTAATTTATTTTAAGTGGATGAATTTGTATTTGTTATGGTTCATGATATGGTGTTGCATAATCTATAGGTTCGAGATTTTTTTGCCAGCCAACGTACTAGAGTGAGGAAACTGGTTCGGTTGTCAAGGGAGAAGGCTATTAGGGTTAATACACACAAGGAACCTCAACATGGGGTCCCAACCACATCTGATGCTTTGATGCCTATTGATGTGGTTCCCTTGAACTCTGTTGCCCCCAATCCAGTTCCCCTAAACTCTGTCTGCTGCAATCCAGCTCCCTTAAACTCTGTTAGCCCCAATCCATTTCACTTGAACTCTGTTGGCCCCAGTTCTGTTCCCTTAGATTCTGTTAGCTCCATTTCAGCTCCCTTAAGCTCTGTTAGCCCCAATTCATTTCACTTTAACTCTGTTGGTCCCAATCCAGTTCCCATAATTTCTGTTAGCTCAAATCCAGTTCCCTTAAACCTTGCAAGTCTGAATCCAGTTCCCCTAGACTCTGTTGCCCATGGTCCTGTTCCCTTAAACTCTGTTTGTCCTTCCGAAGTTGATGAAGCACCCTCTTGCTCAACACAGAACGACATGTTGCCTGGTTTAGAGTTAGACGAATTAGACAAACATTTTGTTGAGAAGATTTTTGGTTTGTTGCGGAAAGAAGAAACATTTACTGGGCAGGTGAAGCTCATGGAATGGATCTTGCAAATACAAACTCCTTCTGTTCTAAATTGGTACTTTTCAACTCACTATATGTATTCAACGAGATGTGTTTTTTTTTTTGGCTCTCTTGGCATTTAATGTTTTCCATGCTTGTTCCCAGGTTTCTAATTAAAGGTGGTGTCATGATTTTGGCAACATGGTTAAGTCAAGCAGCTGCTGAAGAACAAACAAGCGTTCTTCTTGTCACCTTGAATGTAGTTATAAAATTTTATAGTCTTCTCTCGCTACTTTCTTGCCTCTTAAACATGCTTATGATTGCATCTATGGTGTATGCAGGTTTTCTGTCATTTGCCCCTACATAAAGCTCCTCCTGAACATATGTCAGCCATACTCCACAGTGTTAATAGACTGCGATTTTACAGGACTTCAGGTGTACTTTTGTTGATAGAGTTATCTTGTGCCTTTTGACCTTCCTATATTCTGCTTCTTGCATCTTACATCATATTTCAGTTTCTGATTACTATTTGATAAATGGACTCCATGGGCTATTTATAAAGTTTGTAACTGTTCCGATGGCTTGAGTAGCATAGTTGCTGGGATTTGTTTTCTCATTATGGATAACAAAGTCCATAGCAGTTTGTTTTGATTTCATATAGAAATATTAACACTATACTGGTGCTCTTTTCTTTATTGTAAGCCAATTCAATGACACTGCTGCCTGGTCACCATTGACCAAAGGTTGCTTCTGTGCTTGTCAGACAAATAAGCTAGATGGAGGAATTAGTAGTTGTATGTACATGGAAATGTTAAAATTTTTCGTTTAGTTCATTGGAGCTATTAGTTAGTTTTCTGTTTTGATGATATCCTCTCGAGTTTTGTATTGTATGATATGAGATGCATTTATGCTCTTCCTTTCTTTATGTGCCTTGTGATAATTTTGAATCTCATTTATCTGATTTGAAGATCAGACATATCAAACAGGGCCAGGGTTTTCTTATCAAGATGGAGCAAAATTTTTGCAAAAAGTCGAGCAATGAAAAAATCCAATGGCGTAAATTCCTCTACAGATGCACAGGACATGATTTTGAAGCAGAGGCAAGTTCATTCGATTACCTCGTATGCTTGCAATATTTGTTCAATCAAGTCTCATCTTTTGGCTCTAATTTTGTGCAGCATTGATGAAATTATGGGCAATGAATTATGGCAGTCTGATATCGGTAATCCTGTAAGTTCTGTGCACAATCTGTTACATGGTGAAAAATGGACTGATGTTATAGAATGTTTTCTAACAGCTTTTATTTCTGCACAGGATGGTGTTCGTGCTTTCTCATTGGAAAGTTCTGAAAATATCAGGTATTGATATGTTTTTTGGTTTGACTATTATCAGCCTGTTGGGAATGTGATTGGGTTTGATGGGGTATTCAGCATAAATTTCTTCGTTTTTAGGAAAATTGAGTCTTCACAAGCATTGAAGCTGTTGCCAGCATCAACAGATGATCCGAGCAGGAAGCAAATCCTTGGTGCATCTTCATCCCGTATCCTCAGGATTCTTTTAAAGTGATGCATTGCAACTTAGCTGGCATTGGAAGGAAAATTGATAGAATTAGCATTTCCTTGATTGAAGGATGAAGCTTTTGGCTATATCATCATATAGTTTCATCCATCTCTAGGTGCATGCTTATTTTATACACAGCGAACTTGGCACTGCATTATTAACTGAAAAGTCCAAAGCCACTTGATAATTTTACCATTTTATTTATGATATAGGTGATGGCCTGGAACTTTCCTAGCCATAGTGTTCGCCATTAGATTAAATATATTTTCCTGATGTTCAATGGTGAGTTTAGTTACTAGGACAAGCTTGTCTGGTTGCCCTCTGGTTGCCCTCTGTATATATTTAATCATCTTTTTGCCCCTATGCTTGTAGCAAATAGCTGTCTTACCCTTTGTTTCAAATTTGGTCATTGGCACCAAATTGACAAAATGTTGGTCAATTTGTCTTAATCAATAGCTGAATTGAACTTATTTTGAAAAATTACAGCAGCCTCAACACAAGGATCTTTGCTGTTTGGCCAATGTTGGGGTGCTTTGGTGGCTGAAATAGTGGTGAGCTGGCAGTGAGCGACACCAACTCATGCAGAAGGGAATTTTTCAAAATGTTCAATTAAGTACTTGAATTTTTAAAATGTGCAATTTAGTTCTTTTCTAACAGGTAACAGCCTATTTAACTGCGATTTCCAATTGACCAACATTTTACCATGTTTGGTGTCAATCGACCAAATTTGAACACAGGGGACAAAATCATGCTATAGACTAGCGGACTATAAAACAAGATTAATGAGTTCCTTGGTGATGATTTCAAGTTTGACCACCTTGCTATTTGTTTTGTGAAGTCTCATGTAAAAATTATACTGCAAATTCTCACACAATGTCCCTACTTATAATTACTGAATGACCAACATTAACCTGTCTGAATCTTGAAATGTTTCAGCTTTTTATGGCTATTAATTGACAGCGGTGCTTATCATCAAACATTAAAGATGGTCATTAGGTCAAGTAGCTTGGACGATTATATTGCAGTTCTTATGTAAATAAATCAACTCCACATGTGTATTTGAACCTTTTTGTTTCTATATCTGTTGCCAGTGGGTTTGTTGGTAGCTTCTGGTCAGTTTAACAAGGCAAATCCCCATTCAGCAATCAATCTGGGGCGCATAAACTTTAGAAATATTGTTGGTTGCATTGGTTACAGATTTATTTGGAATTCTGGCTGAATGTTTTTAAAGTTGTGATTTGTGCTTTGTTCATTTTGACTGATAAGTTTTACCTCTTCTCAAATATAATGCTTGAAGTACAAGAGCACTTTTGATTGTAATTCTTCTATTCATTTTCCGTTTTGTCTGTCAAAAACTGGTCTGCCTTTTTAATTTATCAAGCACGTCTTTTTTTTTTAAAAAAAAAATTCAGCCTGGCACTGAAAAATTAAAAGCTCCTAATTAAGACTTTGTTTTATTGGAATTGGAATCCTCTCTTGAACTACAGAAGTACCTCAGTGATGAATGGCATTTGTAGTTTTCTTGTTTCGGACAAACTCTAAAGTACCTTCCTTAGCTAGTAACAGATACAAGAGAACGTAGAAAAGTTAAGCTTGTGGAACAGCCTGGCCAGAAAACAGCTGGCAGAAGCCCTCAGTCCACGAAAGCTGCCCCTGTTAGTCAAGGTCGCCCCATGTCTGCTGATGATATCCAAAAAGCAAAAATGCGTGCTTTATTCATGCAGAACAAGCACGGGAAAACAGGTTCCTCATCTAATGGAAGTTCTGGTGTGAAAAATGGAGGACTTAATAAGCCTTCAAGTATGTCCACTAGTTTGTCTCCAGTTTCTAAAGTTCATATTCGGCCAAAGATAGAGGAATATAGGAAACTTGTGACGACTCCTTTCAAAGTTTCTTATAAGATTGAGGGTTCTCTTGATCCGAAGACAGAAATTGATTCAAAGGAACCCATGGGGGGAGTTTGTATTAAAGTCCAGATCCCATGGCAGACTCCTCCAGGTACATGTGCTTTTGGTTTTTCTTTGCTGGTTGCTTTAATGTTTGACCCATAATATTAGTGCAGACAAGTAGATGCTTTATGTATAAAGTGAGGTACCTTTTTAAATTTTCCCAGAATTTTAATTGAAAATTCTAAGATAACTTTATGTGTTCAAAACAATGTGTGGATATCGATAAGATACAGATGTGTTTAAAGTTTGCAGCGTAATAGTTTTGGATCTATGACAATTTTGAATTTCTGACTTTTTCCATTCAATTTATTATCCCTCGATTACATGCCATTACATCACAATGATTTTAGCTTTCAGATCAATCTTCTAATACAGCAAGTGGATAACCTCTACAAATATGACATGTTCCAACGTTCATTGAAGATGCTACCAAGTCTGTTGATAAAGACTACCTATCTAGTTTTGGGGACTTGGATTCAAAAACTTGTTTCATGTTATTAATTTGCTAAATACTAACTTCTCACCAGGAACATGCAGTATTTCAGCTGTTAATGTTTGTTGTGAAAATTTGGCATAAGATCAGAATACTATGAGTTACTTTATATGGTGAATGCTTCCTACCAGATTTTATAGCATTGGTGGGTGGTAAGTCACAATGACTTGTTTAGTGGATGCAGAAAACGCATGAAGATTGCTCATATGCACTATGAACATGGGATTATCTACCTTAGTACTTAAGACATTGATTTTTAATTTTCCCCAATTATGCTATCCACTTACCATATGTTATCAAATCATGTCAATTACTTCAAACCTGGAAACTCATTCATATGGTTGTTGGATTACGTTGGTGAGGAACATCTTTTATACAATGATATTGAACGGATGAAATTTAAAGGTTAAATTTTCTGCCATATGGTATTTTTGATTTGCCAATAAGTTTGCTGTACAACCGCAAATTTTTTCTTTTCCTATCTTGGAATTGAGCACATATCAAGCACTAAATTATGAGTGAAAAGAGGTTCACAGTGCTTTATCAATTTTGGATTGGGGATTGTATATTGAGGCCCAAATATCTGGTTGCTGTCCTCCAACAAGAGAAAATATTGTTACAAATTTGTTATCTATTAAACAACAAATATAGAATCAGTTTAACACCAGTGGATAATCAGCTTAAGCACTATTGGACTTGTGGCTAGATTTTAGTGGTTAGCTGAGCTGAGAGAGGCAGACATGATTCTGGACATTCACGTCCTATAGGTCTCTTTGCTGATTGAGGGTGACTGAGCTCCTTCACTTCTATTTCTAAATTATGAGTGGGTCAAAGGCTGTTAGCTGGTTGTAAATGTGTAAAATTATTTTGATTTTGTTTAAGCTTTTCTCTTCTGCTCATGCTTTCCTTTGATATTTCTTATTAGCTCAATGCACATTCTCTGCTTTTTCAGCCTTTTATGCACTTCTCTTTTCTGCAGAAATAAAACTCAATGCTCTCTGGAGAGTAGGCACTGGTGAAAATAGCAAAGAAGTTGATGTTCAGAAAAACAGAAACCGTAGAGAGATAGGAACCTTCTATCAGTCAGTCCAGGAGATGCCATCCAACCCCAAGGAACCATGGGACCTCGAGATGGACTATGATGACACGTTGACCCCAGAAATTCCAATTGAACAGCCACCTGATGCCGATGGTGCAGAAACACAGGTTTCCCATACTGAACATGCTAATACAGTAGTTTCATCAGCACCTTCCCTGCCTCAGGTTGGTGGAGGGAGTGCAACTGAACCAGATCTTGAGTTGCTTGCTGTACTGCTGAAAAATCCAGAATTGGTTTTTGCTTTGACTTCTGGCCAAGCTGGCAATTTATCAAGTGAGGAAACCGTCAAGCTGCTTGATATGATTAAGATTGGAGGGGCTGGTTTGGCAGGTAGTTTAAATGGGCTTGGCGGTAAAGTAGAGGAGAAGGTTGAAGTTTCTCTTCCATCCCCAACTCCTTCGAGCAATCCTGGAACGGTGCGTGACTTACGCCAATATTGCAAATTTTGCTACAAATCCTTAAACTGTTGTCAACTTCCTATGGTTAGAGCTATATGCTCTCCTGCAAGTTAGTAAATATAAATTCATAGGGAAGCATACATAAAATCTGGGATGCACGGAGCAGAATATTTTCACTTGCAATCGAACTAAAATAAAGGTCAAAATAAACTTTTGCGCAGTTAGAGGTGTAACAAGTTGTAGGACTTGGGATTTGACCATGAGAGTTGTTTGAATGATTTCAGCAGTCCAGAAATGGGTTATATATTTTTTTCAGCCCTCGTCTATTAGAGTTGCCATCAATGGTTGGAAAATATGGTTGAAGCATTTTTCTGCCATTGTCCATCTACTGATTGATCGGATCTCCCTTAAGCTGGGAATGGAGGATTGATGTGTCCCATTCATGGTGCTGTGAAAATTGTGCTCTTGACAAAACATTTAGTCGGCCCCCTCATAGGTGTTATAGGAAGAGAAAAAAAAAGAAAGAAATATAAAAATGGTAAATCATTGTTTAAGAATTCTTCCTGGTTATAATGCACATGTACTCATTAAAGTTTGTTTTTGGTAACTTTGTAAAATATGCAGAGTGGATGGAGATCAGAAGTTTCCAGGAATCCATTTTCCCAGCAAGCGTCAATGGGGAACAGAATTGCACACACTGATCATGGAGCCCCCACCAGTCTTCCTTTAGCAGAAAAGCATAATACTAGCTTGGGGCAACATCAAAATCAAGCCACTAACATCAGACTACCACAGCAGCAAGCTAGCTTCCCATTACTATCCCAACATCGCCAATTCTCATTGCCTCAAACAAGTACCATAGTACCTGAAAACCGACAACCTTCTATAGTTCTCCCATCTCACCAGAGTTATCCCACCAATTCTTCAATGTTACAGACGCCATCCTCAGAAATGGTTTTAGCCATGAAAAGTTTACCCGTTAACACCCCTTCCTTACCAAACCTTTCAGCTGCAATTGGGCCTTCAATGTGGGTTGAAACCATGAACAACATAAAACCAGCTCCATCCATTTCTTCCACGTCAAATCCAGCGGAGAGACGTCCAGTTTCATTTCCACTATCAATAGCTGCAGTACCAACAGCAACACAGTTACAGTCACAACCAGCCCATATAAATGAACCTCCGATTGTATACTCCTCACGGCCACATACTGGCGATATAGGTCCAGTGCCTGATTCCTGGAGAGTTAGACATGGTGTAGTTTCAAATTCCCCTTCTCAAGTTAATCAAACTAACTATGTTCCGTCATATGGAGGGCCTGTGCATCAACAGTTGTGGTCAGGTCCTCCTTGGGAAAGAAACGAATATGGGGGTGATGAGGGTTTTGAGTCTTGGAGTCCGGAGAACAGACGATTTGAATCACAAGAGTATGTGTCAGGAAGAAACCATTCAGGACCCAGAACGAATTCTGGATGGGATTATATGCCTAATGATAGGTCCAGGCAACGGAATTCTTCTGGGTACGGGGACCATAACCGGAATGGAAACAGAAGATGGCACTGAGTGACATGAAAGCTTGTTTCATAATTCGGCCTGGCATGGACTGACCAATTGTTTAGAGTGAATGTAATGACGGAGATTTACACACTATAGGGTGTGAAGTTGTGATGAGCAGAAAGTACGAAGCGGTGCAAATTCTAACAGCAAATGCAATTGTTTAGAGTGAATGTAATGACGGAGATTTACACACTATAGGGTGTGAAGTTGTGATGAGCAGAAAGTACGAAGCGGTGCAAATTCTAACAGCAAATGCAATTGTTTAGATACTTGGAACTCGATACTAAAATTTGACTGAAAGCATCTGATACTTTGACGAAGTTGCAGTTCTTCCTTTCTTTAATATCAAAACTTGGGTCTCTATTTTGTCCAAAAGCTTGAAAGAGAGAGCTCGGCGTCGTTGTAACGCGTCCTTTATGTGACAATTTTTTTATTTTTTATTTTTTGTTTCACTTTTTGTATTCACTTTTCCATTTCAAGAATTTAAACGAGGGTGATTTCAGAAAGATGAATAAAGCTTAAAAAGCCAGGAAGCTTTGGATTGGACTAATTTAGCTTCGCGTGCCGTCATATCTACCATGTAATAGTCAATGCCGAAGGTGATGTACAATCCTAAGCCATTTGAAGAGGGAAATATGGATGTCAAAATAATCTGTAATTCAATTAAGTTCCTAATATATTATCCCAATGTTAATTTAGTCCTAGACTTAGTTGATTGTATATTCCTTTACATTGTTTTACGGCTTTTAACCTTGAAAATTTTAAATATTAAAATCAACATTGACAATAAAACTAACAAACCCGGCCTCCAACTAGCATTTAAGACAGCCCAAAAATTAAAGATACGTAAGAAAAGTGGGAAAGAAAATAAACACCTGCTCATTACCAGCACCCATGTGCCCACGCTCTTTTGCTGCCAAGTGCCATCAAAGATGAGACCACGGGAAGAGGAGGAATCATATTCCTTTCCCTATTCCTAGTTCCTTCTTCATACTTCAATTTTTTTTCGTTTGCCATTGAATTTCCTTCCAAACAAATGGGATTCAAATTCTACAAAAAAATTAACTATTCAATCTTCCTCTACAAATCCTGTTTCCTCTCTTCAGTACACAACAGAACTGCTACTGCTACTTCTAGTACCAGTACAAGCTTCCTACTCCAATCCCTCAATTCTCACTACCAAGATAATTATGATAACCCTCATTTCAAAATCCCTAGAAGGTGGCATTTTGGCCATTCTCATGCCCATGGATCTGATCACCACCACCACCACCGCCGCCGCCAATCTTCTTCTGGTCAGCAAGGTGAAAACATATTCCGTTTGGGCCTTGCCGCCGATATTGGCTTGGCTACTGGAAAGGCTTTCACTGGCTATTTATCTGGAAGCACTGCCATCATCGCCGACGCCGCCCATTCTGTCTCTGACGTGGTGCTTAGTGGGATTGCGTTGTGGTCTTTTAAAGCTGGGATGGCTCCTAAAGATAAAGAACACCCTTATGGTCACTTATTATAATTTGTACCTACGCCCTACTCTTTTTTTTTTTTAAAAAAAAAAAATTGAATTATTATTGTTTTGTGAGCTTGGGTTTAGTTATTGATGGATTTTGTTTCTTGGTTTACGCTCTAGTCATGTAATTTGTTAGAAGGATTATTAATGATTAGGATACTTTCAAGTCCTAGCAAATCTGTGTAGCACTGTCCAAATTTCGTCAACATATATGGCTGTTTTAACTTGTCTTAGGTTGGGATTTCTGTTGATGATGGCTTATGCATTTGTCCATGTGAAGACATAGAGGTTTTAGGAGAAGATGGAACTTTGAATAAATCAGAGAATAAGGTCAATTTTGTTTCCCTATTCTAACGTCCAGAAAGGTCAGTGCTTGTCGATAAATCATCTTAGGATTAAATTTTTAATGATCCGGGATGTGTTCATGTGATTGATTCATGATGACATATTAACACAATAAAGTTTCTTTTGGTCATATTGTATTGAACACCATTTTTTATCTTTAGGACCTTAGGCTCAAGTGTGTCATTGAAACCCCAAGTAACAGCTAGATACGCGAGGTGTGTGTGTGTCTATATATATATATATATATATATATCTATTTTTTTTTTATATTTCTGATTTGTTTTTTGCATACTACATATATGATTATTTTAGATGCATTTGTGCATAGGGGGCACGTTTCTTGGTTTCATAATTGGTTTTCCTTCTTCTCAGGGCATGGCAAGTTTGAAACTCTTGGAGCCCTTGGAATATCTTGCATGCTCTTAGCAACTGCTGGTGGTATTGCTTGGCATGCATTAGATCTTTTACATGTATAGTTGCTTTCCTCTCATTTCTCATCTTGATTAACACTGACCTTAAAGTTTGTCCAGATTTCAGAATATAATTACTCTACCTGCTTCACTTAATCTTCATATCAATAAGAGTTGAAAGGATTTTGAATAACAGTAGTTAGAAATTAACGTTTTTCATATGCAGGGGCTGCTGACTGCTGTTCCCGAGGTGGCAAACCATTCATTGCCCCATGCGCATGTGCATAATCATCATCAAGGTGGGCATCATCATGGGATGGACATGGATCATCCCATCCTTGCATTGAGTATGACCATTGTGTCAATATCTGTTAAAGAAGGGTAAGTTATGTGGTATTATTTCTAGACAATTCTCTTTTGTTTTATTTTTAGGAGGAGGTTGTTACTCTTTGACTTGCCTGTTTAGTAGCCTTGCAATTATTACTTGGACAGCTATACCATGGTCTGCTTCTTAAAAAAAAAAAAAAAGAAGAAGAAAAAGTTGGTGCACATATTCTAAAAGTCTTTTCTCTTGTATTGGTTGTATTGCCATTGTGTGATGATGCTTTTTGAAGCTCAAACTTGGTTAAAACCTCATTGAAACAGATAGCTTGGTTTGCTAAACGTTCTTCATTTTTTTATGTACATGGCCATGCCCGTGCACTCTAAAGGCAAAAAAAATTATGAGCCTTTAACGTTCTGTCTATTTGGATCCCTCTCTTTGGCGATTTATCTTCATCTTGTACCATTTGTGTATCTATGACCCTTCCAACCCACTCCACACCCTGTATTTCTTGTGCAGAAGATGAGCCCTTGCTACATACGTGTTCTGTGGCTTGTCTAGTTCCTGTCTATAGCATCTGTTTTCCAGCTTCCTTTTCTACAGAAATCTATGATCCTGACTCATTTTTCATTGTATCACTGTATGTTGCAGGCTTTACTGGATAACAAAACGAGCTGGGGAAAGGCAAGGGAGTGGATTAATGAAAGCAAATGCTTGGCACCATCGTGCAGATGCCATTTCATCTATTGTTGCTCTTATTGGGGTTGGTAAGGAGCTTTCTTTCATGTAAGTGGCATTGAATGTGGTTTGGTCTAAGTTGAACATGAAGCTAGTTTTTTCCAAGATCTTGTAACTAAGCAGCATAATTTGTCCATGACTTACAGTATAGTTTAGAAGCACAAGCCAAATAGTTGATGTGGTGTGTTTCATCTTTGGCAAAACTGCTTTCTAAGTCATTGTCTCATAGATAGATTTCTCTTCCCAATTTTAATTTTATCCTTCTGCCCATTCATTTCCCTGAGTGTCCTTAATTAACTGGTGCTAGTTGACCATTGATCCATTCTTCATCACTTTAGGAGGGGCTATTCTTGGAGTTAAGTTTCTGGATCCTCTTGCTGGACTTGTTGTCTCGGGTATGATACTTAAAGCTGGATTTGAATCAGGGTACCAGAGGTATACCTCAATTACTTTGAGTTAGTGTTTTACGGAGCATCAGATACATTTTCTAGCAACCTGAATTTCCTTATCTGATAATGATGTTATGGACCAATCTTAGTGTCTTGGAACTGGTAGATGCTGCTATCCCAGCAGAAGGTCTGGATCCTATAAAGCAAACAATACTACAAGTTCAGGGAGTCCAGGTAGGTATCAGAATATTCTATAAACCTTTTCTTTTTCAGAACTTCCATGGTTATTTGTTCAGTGTTTACTATTCATTTAATATTACTTCGTATTTTAGGCTCTTTAGGGTGCTGACAATGTTTTGAGAATATTGGAAACTCACAACTTGACAATAGAGGAAAATGCTTAAGTTAACAGATTTCCCATGAAAACGAAATTTCCATTTAGTTTTGTGGGTTTGCAATTCGATCCCTCGTATTGAACCTAAAACTTATGTAACGATTCAACTTTTTTAGCTCAATACCCTTGGCTGGTTGGGTTTGCACCAAATTTGGTTCAGAAACATAGAATGATCAGATATGATGCTAACTGCTGACTAGACAATGATCATGGTTCTTCTGTAGACCTGTGCTCTTTTTCAGAAGTCTGCTTGGAATGTGGGAGACGCGGTGCCAGCTTTTTGCAGCAAGAGACTTCATAGTTCTTAACATACCTAAGAAATTCAACCAAGCAGAGAATACTCTTTTAAGTTTTTGTAGATTGTCCATGAATTTTTATTCATGCATCCAAGCTAACTTTTAATAAACTTACTCTATTAAAACGTAAAATTTACAGAAGAAACACACATTTTATTTTATCCCAAATAATACGATTAGCAGCTAACAAAATTCCAATAGAACTCTTTTTTTCTTTTCTTTTCTTTTGTGGTGGGGTGGGGGGAGTGTGGAATAACTGCTAGGGAGTAGCATAACTCTTTTAGATATTCATGAGTTTCAATTTCAATAATCAATAACGGTTGGACTGCCATACTACCCACAAAATTCCTGCAGCTTTTGAACACTAAGTAAAACTATGAAGTTGAGATTAATTTCTTTTACTTATACGTTTTCATGATACTTTATGAGTCATTTAATTTTAATTTTTCCTTTTCAATATCTAGACTATACAAAAATTTCCTAACAAATTTCCATCACTGCAATTAGTTTAGCCAGAAGGAATTTGTAGAACCATGTACCTGACTGGAGATTTTTCAATATTACTCAAATGAAAAATTTGAAGTTGATAGACTCAAATAGAGTTCACATAAAAATTAAAAAGGGCTAAAAATGTGATTATCCATTTTGCATAGCCGGTAAATAGTACTTTATCATTAGTGGCGTCATGGATGTTGAAGAATGATTGAGTACTTGTAGATGGTCTTTACTCCTGGCATTGTTGCTCAAGAATCCTTTGGAATTGTTTACAGGGATGTCATCGCTTGAGAGGGAGGAGGGCTGGCTCATATCTATACCTTGATGTACATATTGTGGTGGGTTACTCTGAGTGTGAAGTTGTTTGATGCTTTTGTGGTACAATTCAAAGTTTAATTGGAAAACTGAATTTATGTATGACAATTAACCTTGTGGTTTCCCTTCTGATTGATGTTGTTATTTTATTTTACTTGCAGGTTGATCCTTTTCTTAGCGTTAGTGCTGGTCATGGAATTGGTGAAAATGTTCGCCAGGAAATTCACAAGTCCCATCCAGAAGTAGCTGAAGTTTTTATACACATAGGTATGGTACTTCATTCTATCATCTTCTGGAACTGGTTGAGAGGAAAGGTAACACAATCAGTTTCTGTTGTTGCTGGAGGGAAGAGGAAGTTTTTTCTTTTCTTTTCTTTCTTTCTTTCTTTGTTTTTTTTTTTTTTTGGGGTGGGGTTGGGAGGTGTTGGCATTCCTTCTTGATCTAAATTTGTGGTCATCTGATAGCAAGGTGATTGGATCTCAGAGGATAAGTTTTGAGGTAAATTAAAGAAAAAATGTCTTACTGAAAGAAATAGCATCCATGAACATTAACCATCTCATGGATGGCATCTTTTGGATGATTATTATTCTACTTTGAAAAAGAAAGAAAAAAGAAAAAGAAAAAGAAAATAAAATCTATTATGGAGGTACTGTGCTGGAAATGATCTAATTGGCTAGTCTCAGTAAGGAGTTTCAGTTGGATCCTTTTATTTTAGTTGTTAATAATCCAAAGTTCCAAACACTTGATTTTCTGTTTCCCTCAGCTTCTAACCTCTTGGTCGCCTCGGGCAATCAAAGGAGTCAACGTCGTACCATCTTTCTCATGTCTTTTATTTGTTTTCTAGATTAAGTGTACCATATGTGATCTTATCACCTTTTCCCTTGCATATACACAAGTGACTACAGTTGTGTTCTATCACATTTCTTGTGTACTTGCAGATCCTGCCTGTTTTCACTTTTCTCCAACTATGATGGACCAAGAAGAAAATTTGACGGGAAATGCAAATCAGAATAGAAGCATTTCTTTGGATGACAGGGACATTGAGTTGATCATTTCCGATATTTTCTCATTAAAATTCCAAGAGGTATTGTCTCTTTGTTTACTTATCATAAGATAGATTACTCAAGCACACTCCGCTCTCGGCCTTTTGGTACTATAGCATACATGCTAATGATAGCTTTAGGCCTAATTACTGATTTTGGAAAAGAATCCTAACTTTTGTTTAGTAGCATATGCCTTTTTGCCCTAGTCTTTCTGATGGTAGAAATTCATTTAACAATTGCTCGAATAATTAAAGCAATGGTCTGAACTCATCAGAACTATCCGATCAATGATCAAATTTGAATCTGGCTAGAGATAGTGTTGTGTGTTAAACAGCTACTTTTGCCCATCTCAAAAAGTTGGTCAAGGGACAATGGATACAAAATATAGAGGGACAGGAAGTTTGAGAATGACGAGTCTACTCAAGTGTCATAAACAGTCTCTAGAAACTTTAGGTTAAATAACAGAACTAAATGGAGGTGGCAGATCAATTTAGCTAACCCCAACTAGTTTGGGATTAGAGGACTTCATTTACTTTTCATGCAAATACTTTTGAGCTAATTGGTGGTAATAATTAGTATTTGCATTATATTATTTATTGGTTTGACCTTTTCTTTCAATCTGAGAGTTTTGAATGGATTTCAGAAAATAGAGGTTGAGCGTATAACTCGCCACTTTCTGCAAGGCAATATATTACTCCAAGTAGAAATTTCCATGCCTCCCAGCATCTTGATTCGGTATGTAAATTCAGCCTTATCATATTCTTGATCTTGATCATAATGCTGTGCAATATTTGATATTTTTCTGTGACATAATAGGGATGCAATGGAACTGGCTGGAGAAGCAGAGAAGGAAATCTTGAAGGCTGCCTCTGGTATAATTCAAGTTACTTTTCTTCTAAGATTGGGACGTCCCATCCCCAAGTTTGTCAAGGAATAGTGGAAAACTTGAGCGTTCGAAAAATGTTGAAGCAGAGCAGAATAGTTTTATGCATGAGAGGGTGAAGCTCATACAATAATCTTGCACGTCTGTATTTTGGTACAGGGCATTTATTAGAAGGGTCTCTTCTTCCATTTTGTATGTCCATAACCCTGGAAGAAGGGTGTGGTCTAACGAGTTGTCTAATTGCATAGGAGGAATCCCATAGAAATTTATTTTGTGGATATGAAACCTTTATCACCAAGAAAGAAATCCGTTTATTTTGTGGATATGAAATTTCTATCACCAAGAAAGAAATATCTTGAAGGATAACACACTTTCTTGCAAATCTTTTCGCTCTGCTGATTCACTCTGAAAGAGGCATTTGAAGTCTTGGGGTTTAGGTTAAGTCATCGTTTTTTTATTCAACTCTTTGCCTTTTCTCTCGTATAATCAGAAGCCATATTCACAGATTAAACGCACGATGCAAATAGACGGCGGCAAAAGTTATGTAAAATCTAGAATCAACGGACATTATACAAAATCCATATATATATATATACAATGAGCATAGCAACTTCAAAAACCGATGGGAAATTATGAAATAGAACGAGAAAATAATAAATAACAAATTTTAATTTCCATCAGAAAATTATTTTTACATCCAAAATTTTATTGATTGAAATAGTGAAAGAAATAGCATAGCAGTATAGATATATTTAATTAGAAAATAAGATGAATAAATTAGAGAGCCAGTGATCAGATAATTGTAGTCTGAATTTTTTGATCGACATTTTATAATTCCGTCAAGGGTATCATCACATCAATGGCTCTCCAAAAACTTTTTATCACCAAAAAATAAAACCCAAACAAGGAAAAAGGGATTTCAATAAAAAAATTTGTGAGAAACGAGAAAAAATAAAAAAAGGCAAAGAAGAAAGAAGAGTAGAGAGCTCAGAAGGATCCATTGGTGTTTTTATAATCACAAGAAGATCATAAAATAGGTAGTTATCAACATCACTGCCCGCATACTCTCTTCATCCCATCAAAATCCAAAAAGAGAAACACAGAAAACATTTGTAACTGCTAAACCCTAACATGCTATAGAAAATTAAGAGCTGCGAAGGGGTGCTTCGGCTATATTGTTGTTGTCTGCTTGCTGCTTATATATATAGAACCTCAGAAGCGGCTCTCGAGCAGTCGAGCTTCAAATTAGGGTTAGGGTTTATCGCTTGAGGTTAATAAAGCTTTCAAGACCATGAATAATTTAGGGACCAGCCCATTTGTATTTGGATCATTTAGCCCATTTTCAGTTTTGGTTGTGGGTCAAGTCAAAATTTCGACCTTTACTGCTCCCTTTTTTTTTCCCTAACAAAATTGGTGAGAGAATATCATTAAAAGCATATCGAAGAAAAGACTTCAATCTCAAAAATACAAATAAAAATATTAGATTTTAATTATAACTTAGTTTTTCTAATTTAATTTAAGGAAACTAATACGTTAATCTTTGTTAATTCAGAGACTATATATTTAATTCTTATATTTTTAAATTTATTTACAGCTCGTTTTTTTCATTAATTTCATATTTCTTTTCAAGTGTTTTTTTTTTCCATTTTAGAAAAATTAAAATAAAATTAGATAAAATGAAAAGTTTTGATGAAAAAAAATATTTTTTAATCGAAACTACTAAATTGAGTACGGTCAATATTAATTAAAGAACACTTAAATTATTTTTTTATACTTTATGGACTAATTAACTAGTTCTTATATATATAAAAAAAAATGTTTCTATAAACTATCTAATGAGATCATAAACTTGGAATTTGAAAATATACCATGCACCTCCATGCTTTATGCTTGGGAGATGATTGAGTAAAGCTGCCACTTCTTTAGCTTTTCCTTTAAATTGTGATTAGTTAGTCTTTCATATTCGATGCGAGAGCTAGAAGTGAAAATTTTAATAAAGAGTTATAGATGTTTAGACTTTCACCCTTTATGACTTCTAAAAATCTTCTCAGTAACCAAAAATGTCTTTAAGGAACGAACGCACGAAGAGAGTTTGCACCAACTTCTGTTCAATATTTGAAGTTACGTTCGCGTAAAGATCATTCTTCGATTTTTGCCCTGAACAGGTTTATTCAAAGATCGCAAAGAGATATTGATAAAAATGGATTCTGCAGCAGGGGCTTATGAGTTCTAAGTAGAGGCCCGTGTCACTCACATTCACTAAAATGGGTGTGGAGCCTTTCAAAGCCCATATATAACCTTCATTCCCCAATGTTTCATGGCCACTGCACACCGTTGCAGTAAGTTTGCTTCTACGTACTAGCCGTGGGCGAATAGCCCCATGATGGATGCCGAAAGAAGCTAATATACTGTAAGCGTCAAACATCCCATATAGAAGGTTTTTCCATGGCTGATTCCCTAAGTGAGGGCTGTTGTTGTTGAAAGGGATTCATCATTCCCATTCGTTGATGCTGGCTCATTGCTTCCATTTCCAACCTCTGCTGGTGCTGCTGCTGTTGGTCATGCAAATTTGTTGGCCTTGCGCCTCCAATCCCCATAAAATCACGAGTCATCATGTTACCACCTTCAATAGGCGTTCCAGCAAACCTTGAAGGTCCTGTTGTATTTCGCTCCATTAATGGATTTCTTCCGTGTATCAAACTAGAACTGCCACTATCCTCTTGTTCCATGTTTTTCATGAACCCTGGATTTTGGTCGTTACTCATGAACACACTTGTAAACATTTCCATATCGCTCATTGCTGAGCTACCTGTACCGGTAGCATCGAAAATCTGTGGCATTTCTTGTGACCCTCTTGACAAGGGCGGGTTATTGAATCCTCCAACGCCATTGATTCCAACCATGCAGGTTTGATCCGATGCCTGTGGTGGGAAGTGATCGTAGGAGGTGTTATGCTGCTGAATCCCATAAGTTGGTGGTCTTGTAGAAGTAAGCTGGTCATGAGGACCTGCCATGCTACTAGCAAAGCTTTTTTGCATCATGGGAGAGTTAATACTATTGCTAGCGGTGGCACCCATTTGTGCTGCTTTTTGCAACAAGGCTGTTGCTGACATGTGAGCAGAGGCCGAAATTTGGCATCCGTTTTTGTTATCTTGAAGATAATGTAACCCAGATGAGCCATTGGAACTGAGTTGGAGGCTAGAGGTTGAGGAAACGCTTCTTGGACTGCCAAAGAGAGTGCCCGAGCTGCTCGAAAACATGCCTCCTGCCATGTTCATGGACTTGAACGGAATTGGCACGAGCTCTTGAGGGAGAGATTTGAGAGGGTTCTTGGGGTCGAAGCTATTGAAGTCCGGCATTCCAATAGATGTGCTAGTGTTGGTGCTCAAGGGCATTGAAGACATAAGCTCTGGCATTTGGTTTTGCAAGTTTGACCCCATGTTGGCCATTACCCCTTGGTTTACTTTGTTGTTTTCTTCTGCTAATGCATCACAAAAAGCTCTGTGGGTGATGAAGCTATCTCTTCTGCATGATTGGTAGCAGTGGGGTCATATTAGGTTGCTAGCTAGGGGATAAAATACTGATAAGAAAAGTGATATGTAACTTGAATGTTTAAAGTATGAAAAGGCGTCAAAAAGGAAACACAGAAAGTTTATCAATTTGTTGGCCATTCCAGCCCTATCTTCTATCTGGAAAGTGACAATAATGCACATTTTTACCATAACTTAGGCACGCAAACTATGCAAAACAACAAATAATGTTTGCACTGGTTTTTGCTGCAAGAAGATGTGAACAACTATATGTGGCTCAACAAGTACAGAAGAAAATTTTACTTAGATCCCAAAATTTATTGGAATATTGAACTCAATATTTGAATTCAGAAATTAAAGAAAAAAGTAAAACTTCTTTAACCACCAAAACAACCTTTTAACCTCTTAAGATTAATTCTAAATATTATTAAGAAGTCATAAATAATTTATGAGGCATATGAAAAGACCATGATTATTTTTTAAAAAAAAAAAAAGAGGAGAGATCATGTTTTACTTCCATGCATGATAAATCTCTCCCTCTTTTGTTTTTTTTTTGTTTTTTTTTTTTTTGCTAACCTGGAAAAGATGGTTCCACAATCGCATTTGTATTCCCTTGTGCCACAAGTTTTTTGATGAGCTTTCCAATCAGATTGTACTGCATATTTCTTCGAGCACTTATCACATTTCCATTTCTTCTCGCCATGTTTTCGGCTAAAATGCTTCTTAATGCCAGTTAGATCTCCTAATGCACGAGCCGGGTTGTGGTGAACACATGTTGGCTCAGGGCATATATAGACCCTTTTCCTCACCTCAGTGGTAGTTCTTTGCTTTAGCTTCCATGGAAGATTATGGCCTCTCCTATGCAATTGCAGGTTTTGGTCCCTTTGGAACCCTTTGTTGCATATCTCACACACAAAACGGTTTGTTGCCATAAGCGTCGTTGGTGATAAAGCAACAACTTCAGCAGTAGGATCTGATTCACAAATGCCAGACTTGTTAATTAATTAGTAATTTAATGTCTCAATTCAGATTGATTTCTTTGAACAAAAATTTGATTATTTATTATAAGATGATTGCTCTATCATAAACGAAATGGTCCTATACCATAAGAGAAGATCAATCAATGAAAGGAAGAAAAGGTGAAATTATGGTCCAGGTGAAGGTGATCCTACGTGGTAATATTAATTTTTATGCATGGTAAAATCCATTGCTCTATTCTTTGAATTACAGTTGGAAACAAAAAGTAGAGTCAAGGAAGTACAGTTCTCACCAATTATTGCAATCTAAAGGCAATAATTGAACCTGTCAACTCATTTATCATTTTTTTTTTCAAAACATAAAAATCAAAAGAAAAAGTTTTCGTTCATGATGAGAACGATGAAGCTAAATTTAAAATCCAATTTAATTCTTCTGTTTTATAAAGCTGAAAAAAAAAACTCCTTGATTTGCATGCTTGCATAGAACATGACAAATTCAATGATAGACAGTAATCAAACAACTGTACCAAGAGCCTTGTTCAAAAAA